CCACTGGGGAAGAACTTAAACTTTAACTATGTAGAGAATAAAAAAGTATTCCTCCGCAGCCTTCTTTTTAATTCCCACAGTAAAACATACTGAGCGTCTTTGTGTGGAGCTGTAACCTGTTTCCTGTCGGTGCGCCCCTTTAAACAGACGCTCACAAATTATGGAAAAAGTTTGCAGCTAAACGAGCGCTAACGGTCTGATCCGGCTCGTAAACATGCGGCTGAATATTAGGATTTAATTAAGCATCAGAATCCGGCGGTTTGAGTCCCATTTTCTCTGCTGTTTGTGTTGGAGCGAGTCGTCAGCTCACACGTCTCTCTCTCCTGTTTCTAATGATTTTATGTCCTCGTCACTGTGTTATCGTGAAGTTGTCGTCATGGTAACAGTCCTCGTCTGCTTCTCATAACGAGCTTCCTCTTTTAAACTGAAGGCAGAAAACATGTCGCCCCACTGGGACGCCGTCCAACAACATTTATCATTACCTTTATTAACAACATCTGTTAGCATCATGCTAGCAGCTCTGTGAGGCCGTCACTCAGCTGGGATCCTCAGAGAGATGAACCTTTCAAAATAAGTCTCAACAGTGAAGATGTGCTCGCTCACTGTAGAGCTTTCAGTCCCCCTGAAAATCTGGATGTATTCACAGAAGGGATGAGATATATTATTTGTCCACAGGGGGGCGCTAACACACACACACACCTAGAGTCCCTCACAGGAGATGCTGCCATGTGTAATACCTGCCTCTCTATAGAGAGCATCGACCTCAGTCGTGTGGAGGCTTTGGCCCAGGTTCTGGTCTGACCTCTGACCTCTCTCTCCCTGATGTCTGACTCTGTGCTGTCTCTGTGATGAAGGCATGAAGTCAGTTTTCTCAAAATGAATCTATGAGCTCATTAAAGTCAAAGAGCTTCAACATTGATGTGATCATGACACGTGGTGTGAGTGTTTCTGTAAAGTTACTCTTTTGAGCCTCAGCTTTTTTTCACCGTCATGTCTTTGAGGAGGGCGCCACCATGAGGACAGAAAGTGCAACAGCAGCTTCAGGCAGCCAACTCCAGGACAGGAGACCATCACCTCCTGACAGTGAGAACAGGAAGCCTGCCACACTCCAACCTTTGACCCTTTTTCAACTGAAGTCTGCTGAATCTTTGTGAAGTCAAGTTTCTACAGATGTTCTGAGCAGCTCTCTCCTGCAGACTCAACTCTAAAATACAGAAAAGAATTTTTGCTGTTATTTCCATCTATATTAAAAAGGAAAAATCTTCAGAAAAGGTAAAGGGGTAATAATGGATTTGAAGTGTTGAAAAATGTCAATTCTAGTCGGCGTTTTTTGTTTTTTGAAAATTAAAAAAAAAAAAGAATCAGAATTTAAAAAGACCAAGTGCTTTGAGTTTTCTGTTTTATTTTTCCTCAAAAGAAGTTCACTGATTTACACCAGTCTGTCGATGATCTAAAGGAGTTCTTTTCAGCTTACGACCCCTCAAATCAGTGAGACTGAGGACTCCCCCCCCCACACACACACACACACACACACACACTCTCAGACCTCACAGTCACACTTTAATGATTGTCGTATCGATTTGTTTCACAGACAAAGACAAGCTCGAGTCGTGACTCTTCAGTTGGATCTTTTTTATTTTTTCCCGCACAGACTGAAAAGGCGTCTTTAAAAGAAGGTGTTTGGTCTCTTGGTGGTGAAGCGGGGTTTGTGCTGACGACGCAGGACCCTGTGAGGCAGAGGGAACTTGATCTTTGAGTCCTGCAGGAGGATCAGAGAGGAGACAGCGTTCAGATTCAGAGACACAGAAAACAAAAAACATACAGGTCATTAAATCAAACGTCTGTCGCCAGTTTCTAAACCGCCAGAGTTCAAGACAGAAGCTGGAACTCTGGAAGAGGAATCTGGCTGATGATCTGTCGGGTTTTTGATCTGGAACTGACAAACGATGAGTCAGGTCAGAGAGAGAACCCGATCACACAAACATTAAAGACATGGAGGGAGATACTGACGTGGAACTGCTTGATGGCCGGTCTGCGACACTTGTTAGCAGCGAATCACTTGAACCTTCATGATCTGGATGGAGTGAGCGCGGGCACGATGGCGAGCTCCCATATCACGATCTGAACGCACAAACAGAAAAACATTAGTTCAATAAAGACAGGACGAGAGAGTCAGATATCAGAGAGAGAGAGAGAGAGAGGGAGAGAGAGAGAGAGAGAGAGAGAGAGAGAGGAGAGAGGGGAGAGAGAGAGAGAGAGAGGGGGGGGAGGGAAAGAGAGAGACAGAGGAGTAGAGAGAGGAGTAGAGGTAGAGAGAGGGACAGAGAGAGAGAGAGACGAGAGAGAGAGGAGTAGAGGTAGAGAGAGGGACAGAGAGAGAGAGGGACAGAGAGAGAGAGGGACAGAGAGAGAGAGGAGTAGAGGTAGAGAGAGAGGTGTAGAGGTAGAGAGAGGGACAGAGAGAGAGAGGAGTAGAGGTAGAGAGAGGTGTAGAGGTAGAGAGAGGGACAGAGAGAGAGAGGAGTAGAGGTAGAGAGAGGAGTAGAGAGAGAGAGGTGTAGAGGTAGAGAGAGAGAGGAGTAGAGAGAGAGAGAGACAGAGAGAGGCAGAGAGAGAGAGGAGTAGAGGTAGAGAGGGACAGAGAGAGAGGAGTAAAGGTAGAGAGAGAGGTGTAGAGGTAGAGAGGGACAGAGAGAGAGAGACAGAGAGAGAGAGGAGTAGAGGTAGAGAGAGGTGTAGAGGTAGAGAGAGGGACAGAGAGAGAGAGGAGTAGAGGTAGAGAGAGGTGTAGAGGTAGAGAGAGGGACAGAGAGAGAGAGGTGTAGAGAGAGAGAGAGACAGAGAGAGAGAGGAGTAGAGGTAGAGAGAGGGACAGAGAGAGAGAGGGACAGAGAGAGAGAGGAGTAGAGGTAGAGAGAGAGGTGTAGAGGTAGAGAGAGGGAGAGAGAGAGAGGTGTAGAGAGAGAGAGGAGTAGAGGTAGAGAGAGAGGTGTAGAGGTAGAGAGGGACAGAGAGAGAGAGGAGTAGAGGTAGAGAGAGGGACAGAGAGAGAGAGAGACAGAGAGAGAGAGGAGTAGAGGTAGAGAGAGAGGTGTAGAGGTAGAGAGAGGGACAGAGAGAGAGAGGGACAGAGAGAGAGGAGTAGAGGTAGAGAGAGAGGTGTAGAGGTAGAGAGAGGGACAGAGAGAGAGAGGGACAGAGAGAGAGGGGTAGAGGTAGAGAGAGAGGTGTAGAGGTAGAGAGAGGGACAGAGAGAGAGAGGAGTAGAGGTAGAGAGAGGGACAGAGAGAGAGAGGAGTAGAGGTAGAGAGAGGGACAGAGAGAGAGAGGAGTAGAGGTAGAGAGGGACAGAGAGAGAGAGTAGAGGTAGAGAGAGGGACAGAGAGAGAGAGGAGTAGAGGTAGAGAGAGGACAGAGAGAGAGAGGAGTAGAGGTAGAGAGAGGGACAGAGAGAGAGAGGAGTAGAGGTAGAGAGGGACAGAGAGAGAGAGGAGTAGAGGTAGAGAGAGGACAGAGAGAGAGAGGAGTAGAGGTAGAGAGAGGACAGAGAGAGAGAGGAGTAGAGGTAGAGAGAGGGACAGAGAGAGAGAGGAGTAGAGGTAGAGAGGGACAGAGAGAGAGGAGTAGAGGTAGAGAGAGGGACAGAGAGAGAGAGGAGTAGAGGTAGAGAGGGACAGAGAGAGAGGAGTAGAGGTAGAGAGAGGGACAGAGAGAGAGAGGAGTAGAGGTAGAGAGAGGGACAGAGAGAGAGGAGTAGAGGTAGAGAGGGACAGAGAGAGAGGAGTAGAGGTAGAGAGAGAGGAGTAGAGAGAGAGAGGTGTAGAGGTAGAGAGAGGAGTAGAGAGAGAGAGGTGTAGAGGTAGAGAGAGAGAGGAGTAGAGAGAGAGAGAGACAGAGAGAGACAGAGAGAGAGAGGAGTAGAGGTAGAGAGGGACAGAGAGAGAGGAGTAAAGGTAGAGAGAGGTGTAGAGGTAGAGAGGGACAGAGAGAGAGAGAGAGAGGAGTAGAGGTAGAGAGAGGGGGCAATGACATGCGGGAAAGGGGCCACAGGTCAGACTTGAACCCGGACGGTCCTTTTGGAGGACTGTAGCCTCCGTACATGGGGCATGTGCACTAACCACTAGGCTACTGGCACCCACAGAAGATGACAATATTTGAATAAGATGGTCGACCAATCAATCAACAGAATGCAGTCTAGCTCCGCCCTTTAGGGTCGGCTCAGTACGCTTGGCACCCCAACAGAAAAGGAGCAGAATGCAGGACCCTATACGGTACACTGCAGTCTGTTCATGTTTCCAGGAGTAACTCAGGACTCATTTACTGCTTTTCACAATGTTACTGAATCATAGTTCAACTAGAAACCTGTGTGTGTGTGTGTGTGTGTGTGTGTGTGTGTGTGTGTGTGTGTGTGTGTGTGTGTGTGTGTGTGTGTGTGTTCCTCACAGCACTGAGTGACGGCTCCAGAGGTGGTCAGGTCTCTGTACTCTCTGTACATGTTGTGGGTGCCGCTGCGAGAGTCATAACGCAGCCAGATACCAAAGTTCTTGACCTTCAGGGGGGTCTTCTCGTGGACCTGAAACAACAAGAGGAGGGAGTTAGTCAGTCAAATATTTAAAGATGGACACAATTTATTACATACTGACTTTAAAGATACTCAGTGATATTTAAAGATTTCAGACTAATGAAGACCCGATTCACGAGTCATAAAACATTTAGAGGTCGGGACAAGTTTCATCCTGAGGGCACGTGTCGGTCATGAACGCTCCTCCTCATTTCACTCGTACAGTCCGAGTAGCAAACCAACAAATTTGTACGATTCAGACGGAGTTTTGAGGTCGTCTGTCATTTTTGCCGATTAAAAACAATAAATTACACAATACTGGGATCCTAGGACTTTTGAGTTGTTGCCATGGTTTCAACAGTTAGCGATAAGAGTTCAACATCTGGATCTGGAGTAGTGACCAGCCTACAGCTAAATGGACAGGATGAGGCGTTCAAAGACATGTGGACCCTTGGATTCACTTTCAAAGGCACTGCAGCGACAGAGAAAGGCGACAAGGATCCATTTTCTGTTTGCACACCAGACTTAATCATACCACTGAATGATATGAGCTTTGGGTTTGGGTGCAGGTGGAGCGATGTGTTCAAGAACATCTTTTGTTTTTTAATGTTAGTGATCAAAAACTACAACTGGACCGCAGTAAGCACTCTCCTCCTGAGAGGTTCAGAGACGTACCAGGCCACAGTAGACGGTCTCTCCGGAGGCCTTCTTCATCTTCCTCAGCTGGGAGACGAAGTACCAGAAGCGGGACTTTGCCACGACATGGTTCGGGGCGAAGATCCTCATCCGGTAGAGAGGGGGGGCAGGGTTCTTGGCAGAGGGCAACAGACGCCCAATGACTTTATACTCCCGAAGCTGAGGGAATAAAAAACAATGTCATCTGTCAGGATACAAGAAGTCTGCACATTTAAGTCTACAGGATGAGGCGTTCAAAGACATGTGGACCCTTGGATTCACTTTCAAAGGCACTGCAGCGACAGAGAAAGGCGACAAGGATCCGATTTCTGTTTGCACACCAGACTTAATCATACCATGGACAGGTATGAGCTTTGGGTTTGGGTGCAGACATCGACAATCATATCGTTCAACAGAATGTTACAGACAGACTTAAAGATCCAAAGGGGGGGGGACTTATAAAGCTGGGTGTATTCTGGTACTTTGGTTTATTTAGTAAAATGTCTGTATACAGTCTTTGCAGCATCTGTCAGCTTCAGTATTATAAGAATGTGTTGTTTCTAAGTAACTGAATGTCAGATTACATTTGTAAAGACTGCAGATGTTTTTACTCCTTAATTTAGTTCAATGTGCATTTTCTACTTCTTCTGCTCTCCTTACTCTCTGTTGCTGCACCTGAACATTTCAAAGGTTCAAAAACAGAGTAATTATATAATGTGAAAAAGATGTGAGCAATAAGAGATATGAACATATTTATATTTATATTGTACAGTGTTCCCCTTGTTATTTTTTGTATTATATATTTGATTTAATACAGTGTACAGATTCTGTACAGTTTATTTTAAATCACTTAGCTGTTACTACAACTTATTTTTACTTTTTCTTATATTTGTTTTTCTATTCTAAACATAATTCTAACTGTTTTGTAGAAGCTGACTCGGAGAAACACAAGAATTCCAATGTACCTGTACAAACATTATTCTATCTTCTTGTGTTGGTTTAAACTTTGAGAGATTCAGATTATTGTTCTCCATCAAACTGAAGCTGACAGGTAACTCTGACAACCTTTATATAAAAGACTATTCTAGTATTTTTAGTTGATGAAGAACGTTAAAATGCAGGTTTTAAGTATTGGTCTGTTATAATGTCCAGTCAATAAAAGGAACTTTATCTCTTATAGAGATGTTCCATGATTCAGAGCGCATGTTGGGACACTCCGAGCCGGGAACAGGACGTTATTAACGGATAACTCCAGCTAGCTTCACGGAGCTACACTGACTAAAAGTCATCTTGTAAGTAAATGTTTAGTGATAAAAACAGTCTGCTAAGTCGCTCTCTGTAACACAAAGTCTTTGTTAATCGTTACTGAACATGTTTAGTTTAATCTACAGCTTTAACACGCAGCGTCTCATTCCTGCTCCGTGCACATGGTCCGAGCAGCCGCCATGTTGGACCGCAAACGCATCGCGACGAAAATGTGTAAAATAAAGCTTTTAAAGAGGAGTTTCCCGAGACTTCAACACATAAATCGGTAAAACATAACGTTATAAAGTCCAATCTGTTCACATAAGACGTGTGTTACGCGTAGATATGGGTAAATAAAAGGTTTTACATACTGTGCCGGACGCCTTCATGGTGTCTCTCGCTCACTGCCACAGTAAAAGAGGAAGCGCTAAGGCGGAGCATGCGCACAACAAATGGACGGAGGGACGGGAGGAGGCGGGACTTCCGGGGCTAGTGCACACGGCCACAACTTTTTGTTTTTGTGTTTTTCGTTTTTTATTCAGAATTTTCTAACAACAAACAGGCATTTAATCTTTTAAACATTTCATAAATTCATCAATGCAGCATATTCATATGACAAAATAAAAGTATAACAATAAAACTAACCAGAAAACCACAATTTAAAATAACCTTACAATATGTTGGAGCCTTAAATCAGTGTAAAACTCAAGTAATCCGGATAGACTTAAGGTGTTCCTTTTTAAAACCTTTTTCAGAGACTGAAACAAAGATTTTAAACTTATTTTTAAAAGCTCCAATTTGAGGGAAAAAAGGCTGGGCTGATCTCGGCTCTGCTGCTGACAGACATTTGCACATATGAAATAACGTGGCATGAACCGATGTCAGTAGCAGATGTGTATTTGTTGTGCCAAATCAATCCAATGCTGAGATCTACTCCCAACTAATAATTCAGTGAACAGTTTTTTGTTATTGGGAGGTTGAAGTCACCTGTTGGAGAAACTCTGACGGTGAAACATGAGAGGAAATGTAAATGGAGACTTTGTTGGAGCATTTTCCCGCAAATGCATTTGATTATTCTGAAATGTTTTAGATTTTATAAATAATAATTTCAAATATGAAAAAAGATATTGGTACATTTTAAACGTCTTTTATACTTTAATAACATTTTATGCACCTTATAACTTATCATTTAGTATCTCGTATTTAGCCTACTTGCTCTGTGTATATATATTTTTATATATATATATATATATATATATATATATATATATATATATATATATATTTATTTCTCGTTTACTGCACATAGTTCTGTTTACATCTGTTAGTCTTATATCTACTATTTCTACTCTTTTTATATTTTGTATTTTTAAGTTAAGTTTAAGCTTTAAGTTGTATTTAAATTGACACTTTATATTTAGATTAAAATGTTTTGTTTACTTGCACTGTTGTTAATTTACTTCTTTTAATCCCCCGGGGACAAATAAAGTTTTTTGAATTGAACCGAATTTGAATTCAAAGTTATTTTTATATAATGCACAATGTGATGGATCTCAATTGGCTCGTTAGCTGCTCTAAGTGACTGATAAATAAGCTCTAGATATTATTTAATTAATTTTTTTAATTGTTCATTCTCTATTTTTTTTTTTTAAACGTAGCTCTTCCGGTTTAGTGACCCGGATGTTAACGGAGCGGACACGCCGCTGCTCCGTCTGTCGTGTGTCGGTAACCGACATGCAGCTTCGTTTCTGCTGAGTTCTCTTCTCCTCCGTGATGAGTCAACGGGAGAAGAAACGCGTGATGGAATAGGTTTTCTTTAAGGTGAGCTTTCTGGAATATTCAGTTTGTTTTCTTTAAACATCGCGAGAGAGATTTTTATTAGTAACGACGGAAACGTTTAACGGGATTCAGTGAGATTGAGGGAGACGAGCAGGTAACGTCAACGAAACGTTAAAACAACAATAAAAACCGGTTCAATCGGTCGATACTTGATCTCAGGTTGTTTATATTTGTGTACGTTAAAGCTCCTGTTGATGACTTCGGATTTATTAAGTGTTACGGTGTCAGGATCGAGCGCAGAAGCTAGCCGGTGTCATGGTTAAACTGGTGCTGGATTATCTGGTGACAGTCCGGTAGGCGCGGCCTTTAAGGACTCTCGTTCACCATCAAAACACTCCGAGGCTCGCTTCCTGATTCATGACGTGAATTAATATCTTCAGTAGCATTAACATTAATATATAATATACTATAGATATAATATGACGTAGTAACCGGATGTTTGACGTTATTTTGATTGTCAACCATTTTCTCACTTTATTTAACTGATGTAAATATGTTTGATTTTCTTGTTATTTTTAATGATTATATTCCTGTTTTCTTGGGCTGTTGTAACAATAATTTCCCCATGGGGGATCAATAAAGTTGTAGCTTTATCTTTAGACTACAAACAGGGGGGGTCCTGAAAAGCCGCGCTTTGCGAAGTATCACCAGTTGAACCGTAACACCTGTCCGGGGCTAACGCTAGCTTAAGTTAACAACAGTCAGCTCTTTTTGCGTGTGTGTGAGTGAAGTTGTTAGCGTGTAGCACCGCAGTGTCAACTTTCTGAGGAGTGACCACAACAAGCACAACACCTGGGAGCTGTGAGCGCGTGAACCTCTCACGTGCTCGGTATTTACATGTTTTATTTACAGTGTTGGTGTGAAAACGGCTCAAAGTGTTGACGCTGCGTTGCATCATGTCCGAGTTGATCCTCCTCTGTGTGTGTGTGTGTGTGTGTGTGTGTGTGTGTGTGTGTGTGTGTGTGTGTGTGTGTGTGTTGTGTGTGTTGTGTGTGTGTGTGTGTGTGTGTGTGTGTGTGTGTGTGTGTGTGTGTGTGTGTGACATTTAAGGCATCCATGAAAACAAACCTGTGCTGACTCACACACACACACACACACACACACACAGTCCTGTCTGTTAGGTGGTTATCTCACCTGGGTGCCACATTGTCAGGCCTACAGGTGTCCTCACCGACGTCAGTAAGTAATCTGTCATGTTATCACCTGTCTGGGTATCGACACACAGGCACAGCTGATTTCTTTAAAGACTCTGAGGAGAGTATCTGCTCTGATTTAGTCATTCTGTCATCATGATCATATCTGTCTCTCCTCACTGTCATCTGTTCTGCACTCATGTTCACTTCATCTGTCTACTCACCGTTATATTGAATAGTTTCTGCTGATAACATGTCTACACTCACTTTAACTTATCAATACTGTCAATTTACTACTCTGTTTCTGCACATTTACATTTAATCTTTCATATTTAAGACTTAGTAATGCTAAGTTAAATCCTGGTTGTATATATTCTCATTCTTAGTTTTGATATTTTTAGTGCTTATTTACTTTGTAGTTAATATTATATTATGTTTAAATTTGCTAACATTGTGTTTTTTACTCATATTGTGTGTTTGGACAACCTGCTGCTGTAACAACACAATTTCCCAGTTTGGGATCAATAAAGTTGTTCTATTCTATTCTATTCTGTTCTATTCTATTCTATTCTATTCTATTCTATTCTATTTTAGAGGTTTTAAAGACAACAGGTTCATGAAGACAAAATAAAGTTTCAACATTTTCTGCATCTCAGGTGTCGGGCTGCTTTGATTGGCATATTGAGGTCACGATTATTAAACATGATTACTCATCGATTTTATGACATCTGCATCAAAACATTTATCAGAACTTGGAGTTGATTGTATTGAAACAGTCATCAGTGTTGTTTGTTTTTACTCTGATCGTATCAGAGTGTATGAATCTGCTCTCGTAGCGTTGTTGGTGGTGTTTATTTCACGTCATGGTTTGTCGTCCTCAGATGAGATTAATCTGGCCGACAGCAGACGAGAGGAGCGAACAAGTGTTGGAGGAAAGCTAACCCACGAATGGCCTGCCAGTCTGTCGCTGCAGTCATGGACGAGCAGGCCCTGCTGGGGCTCAACCCGAACGCCGACGCCCGCTACAGGCAGCGGGTAACACACTGCTTTATTATTATGATTATAACGTGTTCTCAGACAGGCTGATAGAGACCTTTATGAGGTTTTTGTAGATGATGTTAAGCATTGTGTGTGTGTGTGTGTCTGTGTGTGTGTCTCTCTCTCTCTCTGCAGGCCATGGCTTACTTTGAGCAGCTGAAGGAGTCTCAGGATGCCTGGGAGGTTTGTGCAGAGGCGCTCGCTAAAGGGATTTATAAGTGAGTTCACTGCTTGTTTTTATTATTCATCATGTCTAAAGTTAAAAACTAACGCAGACTGATCGGATCCTCTGATGGCGGCTGATGGATGATTTTTAATGTTTGCTTTCAGTGACGACCATGTGAAGTTCTTCTGCTTCCAAGTTTTGGAGCATCAGATAAAGTTCAGGTGAGGAAGAGGAGGAGGAGGAGGAGGAGGAGGAGGCCCGGCTTCATGATCTTAAAGATAATAACCTTCATTATTTGAGTATCTCACCGTGTGTGTTTATCTTTGTGTGTGTGTGTGTGTGTGTGTGTGTGTGTGTGTGTGTGTGTGTGTGTGTGTGTGTGTTGCAGGCACGCCGGCCTGAGTGGAGTTCAGCAGCAGCTCATCAGAGAGACGCTGATGAAGTGGCTCCAGTGTCAGGTGATTATATTTCAGGCTTCATATATTTAGGCCGCACTCACACGAGGAAATCTGCACCGTGCTCGAGCACGTTGGACCAGTGTGAGCGCTCTGATCCGTACACTTCCTCTCCCCGGGCACACGCTCTGTAGTTTACATGTTGGAATACTGATGGATGTCACAATACCAGAATTTGACTCTCTGTAGCTTGAAGTAATTATGAACTCAGTTTTGCTTTATCAGAACACACGAGTGAATTTAGCAGCTGATTTTGTTTTTATTTCAGAGTTTCAGTCATTAAACACGTCATGCTCTGTCTTTTTATTCTAAAAGATGAAACAGTAATAAGTGACTCAGACTTGTTGTTTAGTGACCTCAGCGTGACCTTCTTTCTCTCCTGGTCTGCAGCTGATGAACGCTCACCCCGAGAAGCCGTTCATCAGGAACAAGGCGGCCCAGGTGTTCGCCCTCACCTTCGTCATGGAGTATCTGACTCTGTGGCCCAAGTTCTTCTTCGACGTGCTGTCTCTGGTGGGTCTGAACCCGCACGGCGTCGACATCTACCTGAGGACGCTGATGGCCATCGACGCCGAGGTGGTGGACCGAGACATCCTGCACCCGCCTGAGGTCAGACACGCCCCCCTGCTAGTCCTCTTCCTGCTCGGGTTCCACCATCGACTCCTCCTCTTCCTTGTCTGTGGCTTTTTCCTCCTTATCCTTGTTCCCCTTACTTCTTTTTTTTTCTCTTTATATCATCACTCATCTCTTTTAAGTCTCTTCTGAAGAAACACTTTTTCATTTTTGTTGATTTTAAATTGTTACTATTTTCACTTTTTTTAGAATTTAAAAGAATTGTATGTATTTTACAGTTGAGTTTTATTTCCTTGTTTATCATTCTATGACCGGCCTGTTTTTGTATTTGCTGTCCCTATAAAGCACTTTGTAACTTGTTTTGTTTTGCTCTATAAATTAAGATTATTATTGTTCTGATTATTCCCTCCTCAGGCAACTCGTAGAAACACTCTGATCAAAGACGGGATGAGGGAGCAGTGCATCCCTCACCTGGTGGAGTCGTGGTTTCAGATCCTGCAGACGTACCAGCAGTCCCACCCGGAGCTCACCTGTCAGTGTCTGGAGGTGGTGGGCGCCTACGTCAGCTGGATCGACCTCAACCTCATCGCCAACGACCGGTCAGTCACAGACACCTACCCACCAACATTCATTCATTCAGTTCCAGCTCAAGTGTCATAAAAACAAACTGAGTCACATTCCTGCTGTGAAAGTTAAAAATCATCTGCTGCACACGTTGTGAACAAGTTGTCATCTTGAACGCTCTCTGAGGAGCAGAAATCACAGTTTGTGAAGAATGGAGTCGTCTGTGATCAACAGCGAGTAACCACAGCTCTTTAAAGGACACTCTGACGTTTTGGTTTCTGCTGTTTTCAGGTTTGTGAACCTGCTGCTGAGTCAGATGTCTGTGGAGGAGCTCCGTGAGGAGGCGTGCGACTGCCTCTTTGAAATCGTGAACAAAGGGATGGACCCGGTGGATAAAACCAAGCTGGTGGAGTCTCTGTGTCGGGTTCTGCAGTCTGCAGGATTCTTCAACGTGGAACAGGTTTGATGATCCACCATCACAGCTTACATCCACATTCTCTCATCTGTTAAAGGGATACTTCACCCGTTAGCATTAATCTTTGTATCATTAGAAACCTGGTAGTGTTTTTGAATGGTCGTGCATCCCGCCCTCATTTTCCCCTGAGACGTTAAATCTTTGTATCTCTGAGTCTTTAAGGAGCTTCCAGTGACGCAAAAATCATCATTTTTGCATCACTGTTGCTGTTAGCGGGGTGAAACTACAACGCTAGTTCCTGACCCAATGTCAATACAGATTCATGTTTCGACGGGTGAAGTATCCCTTTAAAGGAGCAGTATGTAACTCTGACCCCTAGTGTTTAAAATGGGTACTGCAGTCCAGATTCCTCTGTAGAGTGGATGCTCACTCAGGTCACCATGTGGTGGACTCTGAAGCTTCAGTGTTTATCCAGCTCTGCATGGGTCTGTAAACCTTTCTGTGTTCTAACCTCTCTCCATTTTTCAAAAGCATCTCCAATATTGATCCTAGTTTGAGCACGTTAGCATCTCAGAAAGTCTAGAAGTGTTGTAAAGCGTGTTGTTGTGCACACGGCAAGCGGAACGCTGTGGTCGTTTTGTCCTGTTGGTGGTCGTTGTAGGTCACTGCGTGCGTCTGTCAGATAAGAGCATCGACTTCCTGCCTCTCTCTTCACTTCCTGTGTGATGTCAGAATGTTTTATGACCCTCCTCTCTTCCCCGTCCCCCCCTCCCCCGGTCAGGAGGAGGACGTGGACTTCCTGGCCAAGTTTTCCCGCCTGGTGAACGGGATGGGTCAGAGTCTGGTGCTGAGCTGGACCAAGCTGTCCAAGACGGGGAACGTGAAGGAGACGGCGGAGACGCTGCAGGCCGTGGAGGCCAAAGTGCCTCTGATGCTGCAGCTGCTGGTGCACGAGGACGACGACATCTCAGCCAACATCGTCAGCTTCTGCTACGAGTACCTGCACGTCCTCAAACAGGTGAGGGGAGGGCGCCGCTCAGCTGGACCAATCAGACGCCAGCAGCATAAAACAAACAGATAGAGGTTTGTTTAAATTTCAAACTAAAACTTTGTTTCCTGTTTGTAGCTCCCTCAGCTGACGGACCAGCAGAAAACCAGCATCGAGGTGAGTCTCTGATTCTAAACAACGCCGTCTGAACATCCCATAATATATCTGAGCTTTTTAACACGCCGCCTTTCTCTGCAGGCGATCATGCTCGCCGTCATGAAGAAGCTGACGTACGACGACGAGTACAACTTTGAAAACGAGGTGAGTTTCTTCATCTCGTCTGATTTAAAAAACGCTCTCTGAGTGATTTTTTGAAAAGACTGAATGTTGTCGTCGTGTCGTCAGGGCGAAGACGAGGCGATGTTTGTGGAGTACAGGAAGCAGCTGAAGATGCTGCTGGATCGTCTGGCGCAGGTTTCCCCCGAGCTGCTGCTGGAGGCCGTGCGGCGAGTCTTCAACAACAGCATGCAGTAAGACTGAGGTTTTATTTTGTTGCAGATTGCATTTTGGATAAATCAGTAAAACTCCTCGTGTAGCCGGCGCTTTAGAGAAGCGGCCATTTCTTTTTCAGTTTGTTGCAGGAGGATGTGGTCAGCCTGTTCTCCCTCACACACTCTGATCCTGCGTCTGATTGTTTGTTTGTTTGTTTGTTTCAGGAGCTGGCAGACGGCTCCGTTCATGGAGGTGGAGGTCGCCATCCGGCTGCTCTACATGCTCGGCGAGGCTCTGCCGGCGTCGCACGGCGCTCATTTCTCCGGAGACACGGCGAAGACGAGCGCGCTGCAGGACATGATGAGGACGGTCAGTCGCCGCTCTTATGAGATGTTTGTTTTTTTTATTATTTGCCTCTCTGTTGACTCGACCTCTGATAAACGCCGTGTTTCCCCTCAGCTGGTGGCGTGCGGCGTCAGCGGGTATCAGCACAGCTCGGTGTCTCTGGAGTTCTTCGAGACGGTCGTCCGATACGATAAGTTCTTCCTGGTGGAGCCGCAGCACATCCCCAACGTCCTGGTGAGGAAACCCAACCTGCTCACTTCTTTGAGTTTTGATTTCTCAAATGAACCGTCTGTGTGAGCGTCCATGTTTAAAGCAGACGGCGTTGTGTTCACTGTCAGATGGCGTTTCTGGACCACAGAGGACTGAGACACAACAGCCCGAAGGTCCGCAGCAGAGTGGCATACCTGTTCTCCAGATTCGTCAAAACTCTGCAGTGAGTCCAGTTTTCATTTCCTGTTTTAAATCCACATGTTGAAGCTTTTGTCAGAGTCCAGTTCAGGGCTTTTATTTTGGTAGGATCACAGACGACGACGACGATGACGTAGATACTTCCAGGTTTTTCAGAGCCGATACGATGATAAGTTCATGAGATCTCCTCCTGCTGCTGCTCTCAGAGGGGGAGACAAAAAACCTTGCAGTAAAAATAAATAAATAAAAAAGAGGGGGAGACACGCCCGCAGCCGAGCCAATGTAGCGCACTTTGTAAAAATGATTTTAACGGCGGTAAAACGTGCGAGACTCAGGAGTCAAGAACTTTCCACTTCAAACTTTATGAAGGCAAATCTCCGTCTGCTGCTTCCCAAACTACTTTCAAACTGTGAGTTGACCTTGACGTCTCTTTGTGTGGCAGTAAACACATGAATGCCTTCATCGAGGACATCCTGACCCGGATCCAGGACCTGCTGGAGCTCGCTCCTCCGGTCAGTAATCCCTTCAGAGTAAAACACTTTTTTTTTTTATCTTGTCAGATTTTTAAATATCAGTCCTAAAAGTTTTTGTCATCGTCTTCTGAACAGGAGAACGGTTTCCCGGCGATGCTGACCAGCGACGACCAGCTGTTCATGTTCGAGACGGCGGGCGTGCTGATCGTGAACGGAGAGAGTCCCGTGGAGAGGAAACAGGCGCTGATGAGGAGTCTGCTGCTTCCTCTCATGGACGCCTTCCGCCTGCTGCTCGCCAAAATGCAGCAGGAGACGGAGGAGGAGAGGCAGACGGTGCTCGGCGACTGTCTGAGCCACGCCATCGGATTCGCCAGGTCTGGATGGGTTTTTTTTATTTTGGGGGTTGTCACGATACCACCGAATAAAAAAAACGAAAGTGAATCTCTTCTTCTCCTCGTCTTCCTCTCTTCCAGTCGGACCAGCAAGGCGTTCAGCAACAAGCAGACGGTGAAGCAGTGCGGCTGCACCGAGGTCTACAGAGACTGCCTGCAGACCTTCCTGCCCGCGCTGAGCTGTCCCGTCCAGCGGGGGGTGCTGCGGAGCTCTGTGCGCTCCTTCCTGCACAGGATGATCATCTGCATGGAGGAGGAGGTGCTGCCCTTCATCCCCGCCGCCTCCGAGCACATGCTGAAGGACTGCGAGGCCAAAGACCTGCAGGAGTTCATCCCGCTCATCAGCCAGATCACCGCCAAGTTCAAGGTACGCTGGGAAAAAATCCAACTTCCTGTTTCTCTGAGATTACAGCCAAACTTTCTCTTTAACCCTCAAGCGTGACAATGGACAAAAACTATCAAATATTGAATAATTATCAGGAATTTAACCCTTTAAGAGCCAGTTTGATTACATGATTCTGGCATTTAAAGGGTTAAATTCCTGATAATTATTCAATATTTGATAGTTTTGAGCAGGGCTGAAGTTGTTTAAGAGATTTATGTAGAAAAAAACATCAATCTGTTGTATTTTTATATCAGTTTTTTGGAATTGGACGTTTTTGTCCTCAGTAAATTAATCTGATGCTTGAGGGTTCAGATTCCTCGTGTTGTATTTCAGCCAGTTAACTTTCTTCTCCTCCCGTTGTCATGGCAGCGGCAGGTGTCCCCCTTCCTGCAGCAGGTCTTCATGCCGCTCGTCCTCGCCATCTTCGAGGTGCTGGGCCGGCCGGCGGAGGAGAACGACCAGGCGGCGGCTCTGGAGAAACAGATGCTGAGGAGGAGCTACTTCACCTTCATCCAGACGATCACAGGGAGCGGGATGAACGAGGTCATGGCCAATCAGGGTGAGTCTCTCTCAGGGGTCGACACGGACGCCACAGTTAACTGTTTTTTTTACGTCGTGGTGTGAACGCCGGGTTTTCTATCGTTTTTCAGTGGCGGAGAATATCGAGCGAGTCGTCTTCACCATCATCCAGGGAGCCGTGGACTTCCCCGACCCCGTCGCTCAGAAAACCTGCTTCATCGTCCTCTCCAAGCTGGTGGAGCTGTGGGGTGAGAGAGGCGTCCAGAACAACACAAGCAGCTGTTCTTTTCTTCTTCTGTGCTTCTTAAAAACCTTTTCTTTGATCCGTCAGGAGGAAAAGACGGCATGGTGGGTTTCCCCGACTTCATCTACAAACACATCGTGCCCGCGTGTTTCCTCGCTCCTCTCAAACCGACGTTCGACCTCTCAGACGCTCAGACCGTCCTGGTACGTTTCTCCAGCCAGAAAACAAAACGATCTCAAAGACTCATCATCGACTTAAACGTCTTCTTCTTCTTCTGTCTTTCAGACGCTGTCGGAGTGCGCCGTCACTCTGAAGATGATTCATCTCAAACGGGTAAAAACTTCATGAAAGTAAAAAAAAAAAAAAAGAGATATTCTTCTTCCTGTTTGAAACACGGAGGAGTTTTAATAAACGCTTGTTTCTCTATCAGGGGCCGGAGTTCATTCAGTTCCTGCAGCACGAATATCTACCTTCACTCCAGGTGTCTCCAGAAATCTCACAGGTGAGACGCTCTTCAAACTTCTGATTTCATGATTTAGTTTGTGAGGATGAGTCGATGTGCAGATAACATCTGGAATATAAGTAGCAGTGTGTTTAACGGCGTCTCTTAGACAAAAACAAAAACAGTTTGAAGAGTCGTCTTGTGTGATGATTTTTTTCACGATGTGCAGACCCAAAACTCGCCCGTCTCTCTGCCCACCTCCGCTGGTCACTCGTTAACTTCAGTGTCTGGGAACATTTTAATTGAGTTTCATGAGTTCAAGTTTGTCATGTTTTGATTCTGATGTTTCAGGAGCTTTGTCAAGTTGTTCAGCAGCCGGATATCAAAGTCCTGAAAAACTACATAAAGGTAAGATTCACCTTCAAGTCCTTTAATGACATCATGACATCATGACATCATGACGTCATGATGTCATGATGTCAGAGTTTCAGACTTTGACTTCATTCTAGTAAAAATCAGACTCAGACCAAGCAATCTGATTGGATGAGAGGCCTTATCTGAGTGACGATAACATCACTGTGCCTTTTCACATCATGTATCCCTCCGCCTCCTCAGCAGGAGGAGCTCTGAATACTTTTAATGAATATTTTTACAGCTGGTGAGTTTTTCTGTATTCATGTCAAACGTCAGAGTCTGATGTCGCTGCGTTCATGATCACAACTAAAGGTTCACACTACAGAGGAGCTGCTCTGCTGTTACCATGGACACCAACGTAGAATAGAATGTTCGGGTTGCTTAGCAACAGTCCAGTGTCAGTTAAACTGTGGAACTAGTTAAAAAATAATCTGTTTCCGCTTCATGGCCTTCTTTCATCCTTCTCTTCTTCTTCTTCTTCCAGGCGTTCTTCCAGCGAGCGAAGCTGTAGGGAATAAAAAACTGGAAGTTCTCTTTGGACTGAAAAGACTCTTCACAGGAAGTGGACGAGCTCTCGCCACTTTCAACAACCACAACAACAACATAAAAGGAACTTAGCATAGGAGCTGCTTTTGCACTTAAGAAGCGAACGCATCACGAAGCCCGCCGCTCTGTCCGAGCGGGGGCGTGGCCGGACGAGTGGTCGAGCCGTCCACAAGGCCTTGGGACGAGAAGGCGCTCAGAAACGTGGAGAACTTTGTGACGAAGTGAAACCCGATCTGAGGGAGAGGAAACGACCCGTCTGGTAAATATCCTCGAGCCATCTGAACCCGACGAGCGCTTCCTTCTCGTCTTTAGAAACCACATTTCAAAAACATGCTAGTTTGAGGTTGTTTTTCTTTTTCTGACGTTGCTGCTGCCACGAAATGGACAAAAAAAAGGGCTGAATTGTTTTTCTGTCATTAAAAATGTGGCGTGGATTTATTTTTTTACGTGCTGATTTGACGGAGGGATGGTTTGAAGTTTTGCAGTGCTCGCCGCTCGGGTTCTTCCAAACGCCACCAACTTTTTAATTTCCTGAATTCTCCGTTTTAAAAGCAGATCAATCTGAAACGTCACCTGATGGGACGTTGATACTCGAGCTTTTGGTGACATCAGCCCGTCACGCTAAATTTAAAGGTGCGACGACAGAGGAATATTTTTTGTCTCCTGTAAATCGGACGATTATTTAGTCGCTGTTTTAGTTTTTTGAAGGAGAAGAATGAAAAGAAACGGAGGGACGAAGTGTAAATAAGAGAATAAGATGTTAAAAGTGTAAATAAAGTTCCTAGGTTTAGTTTTTTTCAAATCTTCATTCCCATCTGGGAACTAGTACGGAAGCTCGCTGGTGCCAGAAAGTGGAAAAAAAAGTGTCTCGCTATGAAAACGTAAGAGTTTGGATGCCGCGTAAAATAAAATCTAGTTTGAAACGTTCAATTGAAAAAGTTAAAATGATTTCACGTTTGACCTGATGAACTTTTTTTTGTAAACATGCACTTATTGATGTTATTTTCTTCTCGCTCTGCATCCAAACTTTTTTACAATTTTGGTTAAAGTGTCAAATTTCGATTTAATTTTGTCATCATGAATTCGAATGAGAGTTTCTTGTAGTTCAGAATTATGAATGACCTTTTTTTATTTTTCACTTTTAAATTTCATATTTGAAATTACTCCCCCTTAAAATTTTGAAAAATTTTGCGTTTGAAATTGTGAATTTTGACACTTAAAAAAAGAAATTGATCCATAATTTGACCCTTGAAGAAGTGCAATTATAATTTGGACTCATTTCAAATCTAAATTTAGAATTTGAAATAGAATTTATAGGTTTTTAATTTTTAACACTTTAATTTTCTGGCCCTAACAAGCTTCCGTAGACTATCGTTAACTCATCATAGGAATCGCTTCTGAACACGTCAAGTAAAAATAAAAAACATGAATTATCGTACGGAAGCAGCTCGGTGAGTTTTTATATCGAAGCATTCGTGACAATTCAGGCAATGGACGTGTTGATTATGCAACGCTTCACAGCGAGCAATACTGTGAACGAACCAATCAGTGCGCGGCGACGAGATGAAACTGTACAAACTGTATCTGATATTAAAACACACATCCTCTTTTAACCACTCTGCACGGACGATGTGACCTCGCTCACTTTGATCTGACTCATCAGAAATAATCCCCAAATCCTCCGCTTGAATGTTCAGCACTTTATTTTACGTTTCTTTAAAAGCCTCCAGAAAAAGTTCCTGAACGCGTTGAATTAAATTTGGTCAAACGCGGCCGATAAATAATCATATTGAAGGAGGACTTTCGGTTATTTTATATTTTTCTAATTGTGAACAAAAAAGGCAAAAACCAAAAATGTGCCTGACGATTAAATTCATTTCACATGTAAAAATTAGAAGTTATTGGGCTTTTATTTTGAAATGCTGTACGGTCTTAAGCTGAGAGTACTTCCCCTGCTGTCTGAATGCGTTAACGTAGCCTGAGACGTCGTGATAAATAAGAAAACAGAAGTATAAAGTGTATGAATGCATGTTCACTCAGCACGTTACTCCACCCGTCTGTTTTTAACCTTAAAGCGGCGCCTCGTCCAGCGTACCCTCGTAGTATTCCTGTTGCCTCTCCTCCTCAGTACAGCAGCTTCTACAGGATTCTCCTTCAGCTCTCTGCCTGGTTTTGATTTCCTGACTCGACGTCTCCCTCACGTCTCACTAAATCAAATTTGCCAAATGAATAAATTTGTCGATTGTTGGTGAAACGTGTTGATTTATTTTATTTCTTTTTGATATGAGATGAAACTGTTAGAACCAATAAAAAGTGTTTACTAATCATCAGACATCACACGGCCTCTGTCATTGGTTTGTTTCCTCTTACACTGAATTATATTACAGCCACGTTAAAGGAAATATTTTCTACAGATTAAAGTCCTAAATCGATTTAAATCCGTCTGGTTGAAACGTTTATTCTGAAAGGTATCAGCAGAGCAGCCATCAGCCTGCAGGAAAATGTTGAATGTAGCTTCACATTTCATGTAAACTGACACAGAATGAGCGTGATCTAAAAACTCTTACTAACATCCAAATAATCAGTGAGTATGTTCTTCTTCTTCTCTCTAGTTCTTGACTAAAACAGCTTTTATACACAAGGGGAGGAGCCGGCCGTCCCGTCCATGTAAACACGGCTCTGACAACAACACAGCCAGCGGGACTCGAGCTTCTCCCTCATTGTAGACAGTCAGGACTCAGAGACACATTTACACAGGACAGACTTTATGATTTATTGATGTGGATCATTCTTCCTTTAGAGTTTTCTGTAACAGAGTTTGTTGTATAATTAATCATGGCGTGATCACGTCTATTTGGATCACAGAAAAAACAAACAAAAAGAAATCTCTTTTTTTCAAAGCATTCAAACAAAAATGTTCCATTAGATTTTCTCTCTGATTAATTTAGCAAACTGAAATTCTCCCACCAGGAACAAAAAAAGAAAAAGTGAAGCTCCTCTTCTTCTCTTGAAGATTTCTGTCCGTGACTTTCTCGTGTTTTGAACACCGAGGCGTCTTTGTTTGCTTTAAAGTCTTTGAACGCAGCATCGTGCAGCCTCATCCTTTGATCACAGCGATGGGTCTCAGTTTGATCGCCTTCTTACTGATCCCAGCGTCGTGACACGTGTTGACCACGTCCGTCACGTTCTTGTACGACTCGGGAGCCTGAAAGGAGGAAAAACAAAAAAACAACACTTCATCGTCTGCGTACAGAGATTTTTTTGTATTTTTACTGAAAGTTAAAATAAATAAACTTCTTTCTCACCTCCTCCATGACCAGTTTGGGTGAAGCGACTCGGATGGCGATCCCCTGATCGGCCAGTTTGTCCAGGACGTCCTGGAAGTCCAGGTTTCTGCGAGACTTTGCTCGAGACAGAGCGCGACCCTGAAACACAAAACAGGAAGTCATTTGAATTTGTCATATTTGAGTTTATCTTAAAGTCTTAATCTGTGATTTTTCACTCTTAAATGTAGAAATCAAGTATCTCCTCTGAAAATAACTCTGTGAGTCATGACTGTCTACAATGGGTGTAACACCCGAGTCCCACTGTCTGTGATGTTTTCAGAGTTTTCAGAGTCCTATCTTCACTTTGTTTACATCGCCAGGACGGCCGGCTGACTCCTCCCCTCGTGTATAAAAAGTTGTTTAATTGAGGGACTAGAGAAAAGAAGAATAACATACTGTACTCACTGCTTAACTGTGTTTCTAGATTACGCTCATTTCAGGTAAATTTACATGCAGTGTGAAGATACCAGCAGAATAAAGATCGCTAGCATTAGCATGCTAACACAACAATGCAGCGCCAGTTGTTTTGGTTTCATGCTGGAGCTCAAGGGCGACATCTGCTGGATCAAAACATCACATATAAAGCCTTTAAAACCGGGAGCTGACTGTTGTTTTCATGTTTGAGAGAAATCTCGTACCGCTCCGTGACAGGTGGTGCCGAACGTCTCCGTCATGCCTTGTTCGGTCCCCGTGAGGACGTAGCTGCAGGTCCCCATCGTCCCCCCGATCAGAACTGGCTGACCCGTCAGCTGGAAGACAACAAAACATCAGAAGGTCATAAACCCGTTTTTAAATCGTTTATTTCCGTCCCTGCGAGCGGCTCCGTACCTGGTAGTCGACGGGGATGAGCGGGTGGTGCGGCGGGAACGCCCGCGTGGAGCCTTTGCGGTGGATCAGCAGCGTCTTCTGCTTCCCGTCCACCATGTGCTCCTCCACTTTGGCGATGTTGTGAGAGACGTCGTAGATGACGTGCATGTCCAGGTCGTCCGGCGTCGTGTTAAACACTTTGGAGAACGCCTGAAACGTTTAAAAAGTTCATCAGAGCCGAACGTCATTAAAGTGTTTGATACCGTGCAGAGTGCAGAGCGTACCTGTCGGGGTGAGGAAGGTCATGGACGAGCGGTTGACCCAGGCGTAGTTTCCTGCCGCCGCCATCCCCTTCAGGTAGTCCTGACCCTCCGCAGACGTGATGCGAGCACACGCCAGCTGACGGTCGTTCACCGTGATCTTGTCCCTCTTCATCGCCTTCTCCATGGCGACCAGAGCGTCTGTCAACAACATTTAAAGGTCAACAAGGTCAAAGAGAGCTTCTCGTTCTCCGAGTGTGCCGAGGCGACTCGTACCTGTAGCCACCTGGTGCCCGAGTCCTCTGCTGCCGCTGTGGATCATCACGCACACCTGTCCTTTGTGGTCGATGCCCATCTTCTTGGCGGCGTAGTCGTTATAGATCTCATCGACCACCTGGATCTCAGCGTAGTGATTTCCTGCTCCCAGAGTCCCGAGCTGCAACAGAGAGACGCATAGTGTGAGATGAACCTTACGTCTCCATGGTAACCAGACACAAATTACAAGCTACAAACTAACACAGGTGCTGACAGGAGGCGGAGCCCCAGAGGATGATGGGATACCTGTGGCAGGCCTCTCTTCTTGGCCTTGGAGGAAACCTTGTTGGGGTCGGCCTGCAGCATCCTGCCGTACTCCTCGCAGTGCTCCTTATCCTCGGCCCAGGCGTACCCCTCCCTCAGAGACCAGTCCACCCCCATCTCCAGAGCCTCCTCCAGGTCCCTGAACACACACACACACACACACGCACACGCACACACGCACACACGCACACGCACACACGCACACGCACACACGCGCACGCGCACGCACACGCACGCACACGCACGCACACGCACACGCACACGCACACGCACACACACGCACACGCACACACACGCACACACACGCACACACGCACACAGGTCAGCAGGTGGGCAGGGATTGTGTGGCGGTCTGGACTGCTGCAGGCTCCGTCCTCACTTACTTGGCCCCCATGGGGATGACCCCCTTGGACCCGACCCCCACCGGGATGTGGTCGAACAGAGACTGAGCGAGCTGCTCCTTCACCGGCTGCACGTCGCCCTCGTCCAGGTTCGTCCTCAGCAGCCGCACGCCGCAGTTTATGTCGAAGCCGACACCACCTGCACAGACCACGAGGAGATACTGGAGAGTCAGACCAGAGACACGTAACCATGGCAACAAGAACTTAAGTCCTCAACACCCAGTATTGGTTCATATCATGTTTTTAATAAAACAAAAGAACAAAACTAAATATTTATGATAAATAAAATCTGATTTCATTGTGGTAACAAAGCTAGTACTAACTATACAAGCTATCAAAACAACATCAAAGTTTATACCTCAGTTCTGACTCCATTATTTTGGATCATTGAAAACTTTTAGACCAACATGGATAAAAACAAAGATGTTTGATTGAATGCTGCTAGCCAATTAAGGATTTGTGTTTCATATAATTCACTTAATACAGAAAAGAAATACGAGCTCTTGTCTTTAACTACACCTGAAACTTACCTGGAGACACGACAGCATCGGGGTCGTTCATGTCGAAGGCCGCCATGTTCCCGATCGCAAACCCGTAACCAGAGTGAACGTCGGGGAGGCCGATGGACCTCTGAGGGAAGATTAACCACAAAGTGATGAAGTGTAAACATAACGATCAACACGGCGCCGCTTTGAGCACGTTTCATCCTGACACTTACGTGAATGATCCCGGGCAGAGCCGCCACGTTCCCGATCTGTTTCATGGCTGGAAGGAATCCGCCCACACCTGAGGTAACATCAAAATATAAAATCACTTAACAAGGCAACAGTCGTGATGATGATAGAGACGATGATGTAGAGAGAGAAGAGACGCCGACCTCCTCCTCGACAGGCGTTACGAAGCTCCTCAAACATCAGCTTCTCCAGAGGATCGTTCACGTAGAAGATCCCCTCGACCTGCGACGCACAGACATCTGATGATTGTTCACGTTTCAATACATTCAATCAATTAAACATATGCAACCTTCAAAACACCTCAAACACTGGAGAAAAGAAAACCAAGTCTGTGACCTTTAACCTCTATTATTGTCTTGTGTCACTTGTGCCTTTGTATTTGTCTTTGTTACCTGCCGAGGGACAACAGATGGAAAGTAGCACTTCTGCTATAATCTGACATTTTTACAGCTGTTCATCAAAGTCAAAGTCAACTTTATTGTCAATTTCAAAATATGTCAGACATGCAGTGGAATCAAAATTGCTTTTGTCTCCGTCCCGCGGTGCAATACAACCAAAATAAGATTAAATAAAATAAGATAAGGTAAAATAGATCAAATAAAATAAGGTAAAATAGATAAAATAAAATAAGATAAGGTAAAATAAATAAAATAAGATAAGATAAGGTAAAATAGATAAAATAAAATAAGGTAAAATAGATAAAATAAAATAAGATAAGGTAAAATAGATAAAATAAAATAAGATAAGGTAAAATAGATTAAATAAAATAAGATAAGGTAAAATAGATAAAAATAAAATAAGATAAAATTAAATAAGGTAAAATAAGATAAGGTAAAATAGATAAAATAAAATGAGGTATAATAAAATTAAATAAAATAAGATAAGGTAAAATAAATAAAATAAAATAAGATAAGGTAAAATAGATAAAATAAAATAAGATAAGGTAAAATAGATCAAATAAAATAAGATAAGGTAAAATAGATAAAATAAAATAAGATAAGGTAAAATAGATAAAATAGATAAAATAAAATAAGATAAAATAAAATAAGGTAAAATAGATAAAATAAAATAAGATAAGATAAGGTAAAATAGATAAAATAAAATAAAATAAAATAAAATAAGGTAAAATAGATCAAATAAAATAAAATAATGTAAAATAGATAAAATAAAATAAGATAAGGTAAAATAGATAAAATAAAATAAGATAAGGTAAAATAGATAAAATAAAATAAGATAAGGTAAAATAGATAAAATAAAATAAGATAAGGTAAAATAGATAAAAATAAAATAAGATAAAATAAAATAAGGTAAAATAGATAAAATAAAATAAAATAAAATAATGTAAAATAAGATAAGGTAAAATAGATAAAATAAAATAAGATAAAATAAAATAATGTAAAATAAGATAAGGTAAAATAGATAAAATAAAATAAGATAAAATAAAGTAAAATAAGATAAGGTAAAATAGAATAAGCTAAAATAAAATAATGTAAAATAAGATAAGGTAAAATAAGCTAATATAAAATAAAATAACATAAATTATTTATGTTATTTACAGTAATAAATTCTAACTTGTGCAAAAGGTACAAAACAAAATGGTAAATAAAATAAAATTTAAAGAAAAAGTAAACTTGTGCAATATGTGCAATGTGCAGTAAACTGAGTGTACTAAATTCATTAATATGCACTGTCCCTAACAAATAAATAAATAAAATAAAAAATAAAAATTAGGGGAACAATGATTTTAAAACTGCAACATTATACCTGTAAAAATCAAACGATATTAATACCTGTTTGGCAACAAAAACAGAAGTCCTAAACACCAAATATTATGTAGTATATATGTTGGAATATTGACAGTTTGGAGTTGTTCTGTAATTTGTGTTGTTCTCACTCCTCTCCTTCACACCTGTCTCATTAAATACTGTAGTTGTTTTAAGTTTCAGCACTTTTGATGCTATCTTTCATTAAAACAACAGAATGTAGCTGATGGATTATGGATGCTTGGACACTTTGTCAAGTGTTAGTCTTGTTCTTCTGCTGATATCAATTAAAAAACAGGTGGATTCACCTTTTACATTTTACAGGTAATAAATACATAATTGAGCTACGTCATCACGCTTAAACTTTGCTATGTGGCTGACTTTCTGTGATAATTTGTTACTGATTTGTGACTATAATTAGTTATTAATGGTTATATTTTCAGGTGGGGGTTTGGTTAAAGTGTTTATTATTTATTCAACATGTGCGAACTGAAGTTTACTGCGGCTCTGCGAGCTAACCAGTTTAGCCACATTAGCTGCTAGTCAAAGTGAGTCTCACCTGCATGTTGGGAACGAAACCCTTTTTAATCCTCCAGCAGGTTCCGTTGATCTTCTCCAGGTACTGCAGCTCGTCATTATAACTCCGGCTCATGTTTCTGATTCAAAACGGATCAATATGATTCAATATGATTCAATATAACAGCGTTTCAGGCTGCGATTACCGGCTGTCTGCCAGATTGCATACAGACAGAGAGGTACGGAAGCCCAAAAGCAGTTTGACAGAGAACGCCGATTGGTAAAAAGGCATGACTCAGTATTTTATTAATATATAATTATCATTTTTTGCGTTTAACAAGAAAAAAAAGTCTCAACTTCGAGACGCTTTTACTACAGCTTGTTTTTGTTTTCGTCAGTTAGTGTTTTAGCGCATAGACAACTTGCTCGCTTGCCGTATTTGTAGTCAAACTCTTCTTATCAAGTTTAAGAGAAACGAAGATGTTTGAGAGGCCTTCAAATTAAAAGAAACAGAATAGCGCATTTATATTACATAGCAGGTTAAGAACTCCAATACAAAGTATATATGTAAACTACAAAACGTAAACGATATTGGAATGGGAAAAGAACGATTTATTTCCTAAACTACTTTTAAAACAAACTTTAAAAATACATTTAAAGTTTTATTTTGTTAAATCGTCAAGTCGTCAACAGGAAGTGGTGTTTTAAACTGCGCTTGTCTGATTCCGCTGTCATGCTGCAGCTGTATGTGTTTGCTGTGAGCTTTAATAAAAGAAGTTTGGTAGCAGGACGTGGATTGAACCTCTTTAATTCATCATGTAAGTGTTTTTGTTTTTATCTTCAAACACTGACTGCGTTAAAGACTCAAACGGTCAGTTAGCTGGCTAGTTAGCACGAAGTTAGTTAGCTAGCTGCTGTTACGCAGCAACGAAACAGAAACTTTTCTTCTTCAATAACAAAACAATAACTGAAGATAAAGTCCGCAGACCTGTTTCATGTTGAGTTCTTTTAAATAAAGACATTAGACGTTTTGTATTTTATCCTTTTTGAAAGTTTTACTCCAAACGAAACATTATAAAATAATCTTCATTTAGCATCCTGTTGAGATTACAAGACAAACTCCTGCACACTCACTGTCTAAACCAGAGGTGGGCAACTGGCGGCCCGGGGGCCACATGCGGCCCCCATCAACCCTCAATGTGGCCCTCAGGTCAATTAATTGGAAACATGAAGAAAACTTGACAAAATCTGCCATGAAATCATCAAAACCAGAAATATGTCCATAATAATGTTTGATCAGTGGGGTGTATGTTGAGTTAAATTTGAGACATAATCGACTGAAATCGTTTTGGTATTCTACAGTTTGGCCCCCTGGCAGTGAGAGGTAAATGAATGTGGCCCCCTGCTGTGATCTTAGTCGCTCATCACTGATCGAAACTGCAAACATCGGTACCGGTTTGTTGTTGTTCAGATTAGAAAAGTGTGCAGGAGTTTGCCTGCAATTTCCCCTCCTACACACCTGTCTGAACAAATATATATTTATTTCAAAGCTTCTGCATGTCGATCATTACAGAACATCATTACAGAACATCATTACAGAACATCCATCATTACAGAACATCATTACAGAACATCATTACAGAACATCATTACAGAACATCATCACAGAACATCCATCATTACAGAACATCATTACAGAACATCATTACAGAACATCATCACAGAACATCCATCATCACAGAACATCATTACAGAACATCATCACAGAACATCATTACAGAACATCATCACAGAACATCCATCATCACAGAACATCATCACAGAACATCATTACAGAACATCATCACAGAACATCATTACAGAACATCCATCATTACAGAACATCCATCATTACAGAACATCATTACAGAACATCCATCATTACTGAACATCATTACAGAACATCATTACAGAACATCATCACAGAACATCATTACAGAACATCCATCATTACAGAACATCCATCATTACAGAACATCATTACAGAACATCCATCATTACTGAACATCATTACAGAACATCATTACAGAACATCATCACAGAACATCATTACAGAACATCATCACAGAACATCATTACAGAACATCCATCATTACAGAACATCCATCATTACAGAACATCATTACAGAACATCCATCATTACAGAACATCATTACAGAACATCCATCATTACAGAACATCATTACAGAACATCATTACAGAACATCCATCATCACAGAACATCCATCATTACAGAACATCATTACAGAACATCCATCATCACAGAACATCCATCATTACAGAACATCATTACAGAACATCATCTCAGAACATCATTACAGAACATCATCACAGAACATCATTACAGAACATCATTACAGAACATCCATCATCACAGAACATCCATCATCACAGAACATCCATCATTACAGAACATCATTACAGAACATCCATCATTACAGAACATCATTACAGAACATCCATCATTACAGAACATCATTACAGAACATCCATCATCACAGAACATCCATCATTACTGAACATCCATCATTACAGAACATCCATCATTACAGAACATCATTACAGAACATCCATCATTACAGAACATCATTACAGAACATCCATCATCACAGAACATCCATTATTACAGAACATCCATCATTACAGAACATCATTACAGAACATCCATCATTACAGAACATCCATTATTACAGAACATCCATCATTACAGAACATCCATCATTACTGAACATCATTACAGAACATCCATCATTACAGAACATCCATCATTACAGAACATCATCACAGAACATCCATTATTACAGAACATCCATCATTACAGAACATCATTACAGAACATCCATCATTACAGAACATCCATTATTACAGAACATCCATCATTACAGAACATCATTACAGAACATCCATCATTACTGAACATCATTACAGAACATCCATCATTACAGAACATCCATCATCACAGAACATCCATCATTACAGAACATCCATCATCACAGAACATCCATCATCACAGAACATCATTACAGAACATCCATCATCACAGAACATCATCACAGAACATCCATCATTACAGAACATCATTACAGAACATCATTACAGAACATCCATCATCACAGAACATCCATCATTACAGAACATCATTACAGAACATCCATCATCACAGAACATCCATCATCACAGAACATCATTACAGAACATCCATCATCACAGAACATCCATCATTACAGAACATCATTACAGAACATCATTACAGAACATCCATCATTACAGAACATCCATCATCACAGAACATCCATCATTACAGAACATCATTACAGAACATCCATCATTACAGAACATCATTACAGAACATCCATCATTACAGAACATCCATCATTACAGAACATCCATCATTACAGAACATCATTACAGAACATCCATCATTACAGAACATCATTACAGAACATCCATCATTACTGAACATCATTACAGAACATCCATCATTACAGAACATCATTACAGAACATCCATCATTACAGAACATCCATCATTACAGAACATCATTACAGAACATCCATCATTACAGAACATCATTACAGAACATCCATCATTACTGAACATCATTACAGAACATCCATCATCACAGAACATCCATCATTACTGAACATCCATCATTACAGAACATCATTACAGAACATCCATCATTACAGAACATCCATCATTACAGAACATCCATCATTACTGAACATCATTACAGAACATCCATCATTACAGAACATCATTACAGAACATCCATCATTACAGAACATCCATCATTACAGAACATCATTACAGAACATCCATCATTACAGAACATCATTACAGAACATCCATCATTACTGAACATCATTACAGAACATCCATCATCACAGAACATCCATCATTACTGAACATCCATCATTACAGAACATCATTACAGAACATCCATCATTACAGAACATCCATCATTACAGAACATCATTACAGAACATCCATTATTACAGAACATCCATCATTACAGAACATCCATCATTACTGAACATCATTACAGAACATCCATCATTACAGAACATCCATTATTACTGAACATCATTACAGAACATCCATCATTACAGAACATCATTGCAGAATATCCATCATTACAGAACATCCATCATTACAGAACATCATTACAGAACATCCATCATTACAGAACATCATTACAGAACATCATTACAGAACATCCATCATTACAGAACATCATTACAGAACATCATTACTGAACATCATTACAGAACATCCATCATTACAGAACATCCATCATTACAGAACATCATTACTGAACATCATTACAGAACATCCATCATTACAGAACATCATTACTGAACATCCATCATTACAGAACATCATTACAGAACATCCATCATTACAGAACATCCATCATTACTGAACATCCATCATTACTGAACATCATTACAGAACATCCATCATCACAGAACATCCATCATTACTGAACATCCATCATTACAGAACATCATTACAGAACATCCATCATTACAGAACATCATTACAGAACATCCATCATTACAGAACATCCATCATTACAGAACATCATTACAGAACATCCATCATTACAGAACATCCATCATTACTGAACATCCATCATTACAGAACATCCATCATTACAGAACATTATTACAGAACATCCATCATTACAGAACATCCATCATTACTGAACATCATTACAGAACATCCATCATTACAGAACATCCATTATTACTGAACATCATTACAGAACATCCATCATTACAGAACATCATTGCAGAATATCCATCATTACAGAACATCCATCATTACAGAACATCATTACAGAACATCCATCATTACAGAACATCATTACAGAACATCATTACAGAACATCCATCATTACAGAACATCATTACAGAACATCATTACTGAACATCATTACAGAACATCCATCATTACAGAACATCCATCATTACAGAACATCATTACTGAACATCATTACAGAACATCCATCATTACAGAACATCATTACTGAACATCCATCATTACAGAACATCATTACTGAACATCCATCATTACAGAACATCATTACAGAACATCCATCATTACAGTAACAGAGATCGTATCGTTTTATAACTCGTGGTATTGAATCGTATAAAATCATTTAAAATTTGACAACCTTAAAGGTCCGGGTGTTTTTTCTTTCTGTCATGTCCAGTATGAAGCTTCGTGTTCGGATCCATCGGCAGACCAGCAGGGTGGACTTGCCGGGAGAAGAACCCAGTGTGACTGACCTCAGAGACCACATCAAGGAGACGCTCCTGTGCTCACTGCAGATCAGGTCAGACAGACCGGTTCATGTTGTTGCTGTAGTTAAGTTGATTGATAATTGATTTGCTCATTGGGTGCTTAAAAATAAATGGGGGGGGGGGGGGGGAGGACAGAAGTTCCCCCCCCCGTGTTGTCTTCAGAGGTTGTAACAGGCGATGCAGAGGAGAGTGTGTGTGTGTGTGTGTGTGTGTGTGTGTGTGTGTGTGTGTGTGTGTGTGTGTGTGTGTGTGTGTGTGTGTGTGTGTGTGTGTGTGTGTGTGTGTGTGTCTGTCTCTGTGTGTGTGTGTGTGTGTGTGTGTGTGTGTGTGTGTGTGTGTGTGTGTGTGTGTGTGTGTGTGTGTGTGTGTGTGTGTGAGAGTGTGTGAGACTGTGTGTGTATGTGGAGCTCCCACTGCGCTGTAACTCAGTGTTTGTGTGCCTCTCTCAGTGCAGACACAGAGTTCAGTTTGTCTCTGAACGGCTCAGAGCCTCTCACAGACGCCGGACAGACTCTGTCGTCCTGCGGCATCGTGTCCGGAGATTTGATCTGCGTCATCCTGCCCGAGTCTGCAGCCGCCGACATCCCAGACTCCTCCATGGAGAGCGTATCCTCCTCCACCAACACCACCTCTGCAAACTCTGTCAGCTCGGGAACAAGCAGCACTGAGACCCAGAGGTAAGATCCCTATTTATTTTATATTTATGTTGTTGTCTTCGATACCACATGATCCACAGTCATGAAAAGTTCTGAAAATTCAAAAAAGTCAGTCATATTTTTAGCTACGAGAGAAAGAGAGCACTTTCTAAATTGCACAAATATGTTGGTAAAGAAACATTGCCAACATTTTCCTTGCTGCATTTGCAGATATTATTTACTCTTTACAATCAACCCAGGCCTCATGTTTAGATTGTATCTTTAAATAAGATGTGTTTGTGCTTGATGATATTAAGTGTTAAGTATTCCCCCCCACTCACCTCCTTCAAGAAATCCCTCAAAACTCACCTTTTCATCACTGCCGACAACCACTAACTCCCCCCCCTCCCCCCCACATTACTTCTTCATTGTACTGTCCTTGTCGTTTTTTGTTTTGTTTTATGGTTTTATGTTTTGTCAAAGCGTCTTTGAGTTCTTACAAAAGCGCTATAAAAAACCAATGTAGTATTATTATTATTATTATTGTTATTATTATTTAACTTTAAATGAGTCTTGTACTTTTGGTGGTGAGATTTGAGCTTCTTAGTGCGGCTCAGTCGTCGTTATGCAGCGACCGTAAATTTCTTCTTCCTGTGAGAAGTTCTAAATTACAAATCTGTCGTTTGAGGAAGGAGGGAGGATAAATCAGCCCGATGCACCTCGTTAAAAATGATCAATGGTTCCAGGCAAAGAGTCTCTGTTAAGATAACTTTCACTTCCCCGGCTGGGTGGAGCTCAGAGGCAGCGTCTGTGTGTCTTTATTTTCACTTTCTTTATTGTGAAAACAGAAGCTCTGAATCTGAAGGACTTTTAAAAAAACCTCTGACAGTAAATTCTGTTCTTCATTGTTGAATCATCAGACACACGGCAGAGATGTCTTCCTCCCAGGTGAGTGGAAACATGTCCGACTAGTGGAGTTCAAAGTTCATGTCTGGTGTGAGATTCTAAAGAATCTTCTTTCAGCCCGACGGCAGCAGTAGCGTCTCTGCAGACTGCGAGCAGCTCGCCACGGCGTCCTCCTCCAGCTGGGAGCCGATGCTCTGCAGCGAGGCCGAGGAGGGTCAGGCTCCTCTCTCACTCGAGCTCCTCTACCAGTCGGCCCAGACCGCCGGGCCCAGCGACGCCGTCATGGTGGCCGCCAACCAGCTTATGTTGGAGACCGGGTTTGTTCCTCAGGTGAGACTGCAGACAACCAGGACCCGTTGTTCAGGTGTGATCAGCTGATCCAAATTATATCAGCTGTGTGTGTGTGTGTGTGTGTGTGTGTGTGTGTGTGTGTGTGTGTGTGTGTGTGTGTGTGTGTGTGTGTGTGTGTGTGTGTGTGTGTGTGTGTGTGTGTGTGTGTGTGTGTGTGTGTGTGTGTGTGTGTGTGTGTGTGTGTCTCTGTGTGTGTGTCTCTGTGTGTGTGTGTGTGTTACAGGGCTCTGGGCTGAAAGCTGCTGAGATGCCTGCAGGTTGGAGGTCAGCTGGTGGAGTTTACAGACTGCAGTATGTTCACCCTCTGTGTGAGAACAGCGTGGTGTCTGTGCTGGCGTTGTGTATGGGCCCCGTGCTCGTCATCAACGGTCAGTTTGAAGATTTCATGACTTAAAGATTTGAAGCGTTATGATTGGTCCATTCTCCTCTGAATATTCAGACTGTTTGTTTTTCTTTCTGCAGCGACTCTGAAGGTGAACGAAACCGTCGACACGATCCCCAAACTGACCCTGAACCCCCGCAGCTACGTGACTGATCTGTGCCCAGGTAACGCTCCCATTGGTCGATTTAACCTCCTAGAGGTGCGTTTCATTTAATGACTCTGATGAGTCATGTGACGTCTGTTCTGTTTATTCAGGAGACGGTGCAGCCGCAGCTTTTAAAGACCTGAAGAAACTGTCCCGGATATTTAAAGACCAGCTGGCGTACCAGCTGATCGCTGCAGCCAGAGCAGGTACACACACACACACACACACACACACACACACACACACACACACACACACACACACACACACACACACACACACAGAGCCTCAACTTCATATTTTGTATTTTTGTATATTTCTTTTATTTATGATTCAAAGAATAAAAAACTACATTTTGGTGTTTTTCCAGCGATGTCTCTGCCCGTGGCGTTCGGTCTGGCCGCTCTTCCTCCTGAACTCACCCTCAGGATCCTCCGGCTGCTGGACGTCACCTCTGTGGTCAGACTGTCGTCCGTCTGCAAACACTTGAACAACGCCACAGACGACTCCACGCTGTGGAGACACCTGTACCGCAGAGACTTCACAGGTGAGCTTTTCAAAACGTCTCTCCTCTCAGTCTTTGTTTATGACGGAGACGTTTAATAAACAACAAATAAACAAACTGCTGTTTGTGTTCAGATTCAGATCCAAGCAGACCCAGAGACTCGGACTGGAAGCAGGTGAGACAAACACAGTCAGAGTCGATGAAACAAACTGAATCAATCATTATTTATTAGGATGTTTCACAGGTCTATAAAAATGATTAAAAGAAAAATGTGCAACTTGTTGATCCAGTAGATGTCGCCCTTGAGCTCCAGCATGAAACCAAAACAAACTTATTTTTGGCCACGCCTCCTCCATCCTGAAGCCCCGCCCTCCTGCAGAGACATTACAAAGAAGATGTTTTTTTTATGTAAATGTATTTCATATTTTCCTCGTCTGTTTCTGTCTCCAGATCTACAAACGCTCCCACAAACATCGCTCTGAACTCCGTCGTCTGTCTCACCCCCGATCCCTCCCTCCTCTCCCCTGGAACCCGCCGGACATCTTCCCACCCTTCCCACCCTTCCCCCTCCCGCTCGCCCCTCCTCTGCCCGGCATCATCGGGGGTGCTTACGACCAGAGACCCGAGGAGCTCCCCCGCGGCCTCCTGCCCCGGCCTCGCTTCGACCCCATCAGCGCGCTCCGAAATCCGGAGAGGCGACCTCAGGGCGACCCCCGGAGATATCGTCCGCTGGGGGGGCGACCTGCAGACGTGCGGCGAGGTTTCATCTGAGTCTTCTTCTGCAGAAATAAAACACAGAGCTGAGTCAGACGTGTGTTTGTTCATAAGAGAGAGAGAGGAAACACAAACTGATTTATATTAAAACGATACAATCTGATATTTTCATGATCCATAAAATCTAAAAACACAAAACCTTTGAAATAACTACATCGGATTCTTCACACGACACCACAGAAGAAGAATGAATGCAGCCAAACATCTGCATGAAACATCTTTCTGCAGTTCAGACACTCAGAGAAGCAGAAACATTTATTAACTTCATCACGTTTGTCTCATATCTGCAGCCGGGTCTGTACAGATGACCTCTGACCTCTAAATTCTAATTTGAGTTTTTATTTAATTAAAAAGCCGACATTCAGCACAGCACACCTGAGGCTCGCTCACCTGAGGCTCGCTCACCTGGGGCGTCTTCACAGGTTCATCTGTCCGGTGTTTAATCCTGTCTGAGACTCTGAACTGTATGGAAGCCCATTTGGGACAAAAGAGGAAATATAAATAGAAAAGTATTTAACGTTTGAGGGTAAGAAAAAGGCACTTTGGCACCTTTATGTTTTTGTATTAACTATTTTTAAATCATGATTAAACCCTCAAACTTAACGCACACGTCTGTGTTAAGACGAGAGAGACACCCGTTGTGAAAATCAGGGTCGATACCGATGTTTGAGTCATGGCTTCTTTTGGTGTCAGACTTCACAGCTGACATTTTCAGAGTTTGTTCAACAGGTGACGTCATCTGCCCAATAAAAAACATTCTTCTCTAAGTCCCCGTGTCCACCTGGTATTTTTTGAAGCAGAAAATCGCTCACTGTGCACTTGCATGAAGTGTTTGTGTGCTGAGAGAAAAGCGCTGCATGTCCGTCCTGTCTCTATGACAACAGTCTGTTGATGACGATCGCTGTATGGCCGACTCTGCTCTGAAGCAGCGGAGGCAATTTGGGGTTAAGTGTCTTTCCCGAGGACACATCGGACATGTGGCTGCAGGAGCTGGGGATCGAACCCTCAACACACATTTACCACAAAGTTTTCTCAAATTGAGACTTCCTATGTAAATGTTTATTGTTTCATTAGTTTATTTTAAAGGTTCAACCCTGATTTTTGTTAATTAAGAACATAGACTGTAATTTTAAGAATATTTAGTTATTAAGAGTTGTGCTTTGTTTATTTTTATGGATTTTAAATCCTTAAACTCCTCGAATCCTGACCTGATGCTATTAAAATCATATTACAGTTTAAAAATATTTTAATTTACAAAATAACAAAGATGATATTTGTCTTGATAGAGTTTGACAAAATGAAGCGATATGTAAAAACAAAAGTGAAACAAAAAAAAATCACATTTGTTCCCACTGAGTCCTTAACGCATCCCGTTAAGCAGCGCGTGAGATAATGACGTCACCTTTTGTCTGAAAACAAAGGGTGCACTCGTATCTAACGCCCACTTCAGACGGAGAGACAGGCGGAGTTAGCTGTGGTGCAACCCCCGGTGTATCGCAGAATTCTGTTACTCATTATATCCGATGACCACGTCGAGCTGTAATACCTCAATAATTTGTTTTCTATCCAAATTAAAAATGTACTTTAATTATTTTAGAATACAAAGACCAGCCTAGACTACATTTGTCATCTAATTATAACACTAGTTCAGTGTTTTGCCTTTGGCGCGCAACAGAATTTAAACGGTCACAGAAATTGTTATAACACCGGTTACGCTGACGGTGGACGTCAACGGTCCGTCAGAGTAGGTTTAACCGTGAATGGAGTCGAATTTAACGGTTTTATCCCTCAGACAAAGATTAGAGAATCTTCTGTGACTTTCCTTGAGTGATTTTTATTTATTACAAAATTAGTAGTAACCAAAAATGATCTGAATTAACCATGAAGTCATGTTAACACTTAAAGTAGCTTTAACCGTTAGATGATAATACGGTACATACTCCTTCCCTTCACCAGCCGGGCGGGGACTAAGCAATTCCAACAGGGGTGAGTTTGATTCATGACCCCATTGTTTTATTCATGATGACCACAGAAATGTTGATAATGAGAGAATAGTCTTTAAAAATAAAAATACAAAATGTATACTTTTTTTCAAGGGGGCTTTCCGGATTCTTGTCACTGAATTGTCCGGTTGACAGATTTCGCTGTAACACCGCCCCGTGTTCTGAGTGTTTAGGTGTTCTGTCTCTTTAAAAGCCTCGTGTTGTTACAGGAAGTGCGAGGGGTGTTTCCAGCTGATCTGCACAACAGAAGGACCAGAGAGTCCCCCCCTCAGCAGCCCGACCTACCTGCTCCTGTCTCCGGTAGACCTACCACAGGAGAGCGGACAGGTACCGGACTGCAGCGCCGCACCGAGAGCCTCTTCCTCCGGATTACTTTCAGGTCTCCCCCCCCCCTCCTCCTCCTCCTCGCCTCTCCTGGGCTTCTTTTAACCGCCTGCTAGCTACCGTGAACCGGTGCCGTCGGTAGCTGTTAGCCCGGACTGTCATGATCCCAGCTCGGAGATGGCGTCCTTCCCCGGTTTGTGTCAGGCTGTCGGGCCCGCGGAGGAGGAGAACGGAGAGCTGGACGGATCGCTGCAGACGATGCTGAAGGCCATCGCCGACGAGAGGAACCGACTGAACATCCGACAGGAGATCAGCGGGCTGGGTGAGCGGATCAGTCCGTGATGTGTTCACTGTGTGGCCCTCAGGGTGCTGCTCCATGCAGGTGTCCTGATTCATATGAATTATGTTCTGGTCTGAGGTTCTCAACATGTTCTCTACTGTCCTTTACCTCGTGTTTTAAAACGATAAATGTCTGATATTTAAATCATTGTTAGTATCCAGCTGAAACCTTTCTCTTAAAACAGGTGTGTTGGAAAGGAATGAATCCATCAAAGATTGCATGCAAACTCCTTCACACTGTCTACATTTCACATAAAAGTTGGCAACTTTTCCCTCTAGAAAACTTATTTGTGCAATGTAGACAATGTGCAGGAGTTTTCCTGCAATGTTTGTGACTCATTACCAACAATTAAGCCAATAATGTGTGCCTAGGACTTCTACTTTTGTTGTCATGGTAACAAACTGGTATCTATATTCAGAATCCAGGTATTATGGTGACCCTGGTTATAGTCGTTCTTCCACTGAAGAGTCTTCTCTTAATTGGCTAAACACTTTCAGAATATCCCTTAAAGCAACAACATGGAGGAACTCTGTTTGGTGTGTTTTGGCGCCCACCGAAGGTCTCAGAGTGCAACTGCAGTGTGGAAAACCGCAGACATTCTCATTATTCATACTCATAGACGTCACATTGAGCGTGTTGAATGATCAGATATCATAGTGTGCAGTTTTGTGTGTGTGAGAAATAACCAGTTGTTTACTAGATCAGACAGAATGTTAAGTATGAAACAGGAGCGCACCTGTCATACTAAACCGCCCCACAATGCTGTATTCTATTATGTTGCTAACGATCGGGTTAGCATGCAGGATGTGGTTGCTCTAATGTTTTGTCCCTGCTGATTTCACCTGGACTCTGTCGTACATTTGATTCCCCTTCAGATATTTCTTCTTCATTCTTTAGGAAAAGAGTTTCAGTAGGTAAAAGATTTAACCATCTTAAACACAATAACAGGTACCGGGTCCGAGTCCAAGCCGGTGAGAGAGAGCTCGAGTCGGGCCGTCTCTCTCGGGATCATGTCGCGGGTCACATCAGCAGAGTTTGATTCTGTTTGTTCCTGCGGCTCGTTTCTGCTGATGGAGAAATCAATAGAGCTCTGTTCTCAACCCATGACTTCATCAGCGCCTGTTTGGTCAGCCGCACAGAAAGAGACGCTCTCACACACACAAAGATAATGTTCTGGTTTTAATCTGCATGTTGACAAATGTTCAGATCTTTAATCTAGATAAATCACTGGGTGAATTAGAACTAAAGTAAACAGGAAATAGAATGACCCACTGTTCAAACACTCCTCTGAACTCTGAGACTACAAGTTAATATCTTACAGCTGTGTTTCTTTAAAGAGTAACCGACCTCCAGGAATCATCAAACTTTAAAATAAATCACTTTAAAGGAGCAATATGTAGCTCTGACACCTGGTGGTTAAAATGGGTACTGCAGTCTAAATTCTAAACATCATAGAGAGCTGTCTCCCCGCCCTCCTCTCTAGAATTGATGCTCACTCAGGTCACCATGTGGTGGACTCTGAAGCTTCAGTGTTTATCCAGCTCTGCATGGGTCTGTAAACCAGATTAAAAACATTAAAGAGAGGTGTGTGTGTGTGTGTGTGTGTGTGTGCGCGTCCTTGGATGGTCCTCTTCAGGCTGCTGAGTGTGACTCACATCTGAGAGCATCCACAGTGACTCAGGACTTAATTCAATCATTGTTCTGCTTTGTTCTAACCTCGACGTTGTGTCTGTAGTTTTTTGTTTCTGCATGATAATGTCGTCGACTTTGTTTCTTCTGTTTGAAAGAGAGACGTCATGAGGTCACAGATTTGAGCAGCAGGTCCATCTTAACAACTACGATTTAATCCTCAAACAGGTTGATATTTGTTACCGTCCATAAACAAATCACCGTCACAGACTGTTGTCCCGTCGTGTTGCACGTAGTTTTAAAGTTTCAGAAACAAAAAAAGTCTTGGTCTGAATTTTGTGTCATCCCAGACTCATGTAGTCTCCACTCTGAGGGTTTTTGGTGGTTTCACTTTAAGGACCCGGGCCAGATCTGAGTACACTAACTTGATCCTGAAGTTCGGTTCATTTGATCTGTGTGAACACAAACATACCACTTGAGGTGGAGGAGGAGGAGGTGGAGGAGGTGGAGGAGGAGGAGGTGGTGCAGGAGGAGGAGGAGGTGCAGGAGGAGGAGGTGGAGGAGGAGGAGGTGGAGGAGGTGCAGGAGGAGGAGGTGGAGGAGGAGGAGGTGGAGGAGGTGGAGGAGGAGGAGGTGGTCTTCATGTGCTCTAAAAGTCTTCTGTTTTCATGTGTTTGTTTTGTGTCCTGACTCTCCTTGTAGCGGTAACTTTGTAATTTCCTGCAAAGGATTAATAAAATATCTAAACCAGTTCAATCAGGAGTCAGACGAGACCAACATGAATGATTCAGGTTTAATTACCTCCTCACACACCAGCGTATCCCTCCACAGTCGGAGCAGGATCTATAAATACTCTGACTCCAGTGTAAAGTTTTAAAGCTTGCTGCTGTTCAGAGAGAATAGATCTGCAGGTCGATCGATAAAAGCAGGTCGTTCTCTCGCTCGCTCCGCTCTCCACAAACCGCACGACCCGATGAGTGTTACTGTACGGTAAAAATAGCCCGACGGTGACTCACTCCCGACAGACAGAAATTATTACAAACCTGCTGAATAATTAATGCAGTCTGACTCAGAGTCTTTGTTCTAACTCGGCCAGTCAAAGTCAAACGCCATCTGAATGTTTGATTTGAGCATTTTTTCTAATGTGGGGAAAATGTAGTTCTGTCTCGTCGCGCTATGAGTACTGTATTAATGTGTTTGTGTGACTGCGGGACATCACAGACAGAAGGAGGGACGTCTCCACTCTGTTTACATTGTACACTCTGATTATGCTCAAAGAAGTTTATAAAAACATCATGAAAAAGTTTGATGAAATAATATAAAATGCTGAAACCAGTTAAATAAAAATATGGATATTAAAGGAGCAGTATGTAACTCTGACCCCTAGTGGTTAAAATGGGTACTGCAGTCTAAATTCTAAACATCATAGAGAGCTGTCTCCCCCCTCCTCTGTAGAGTGGATGCTCACTCAGGTCACCATGTGGTGGACTCTGAAGCTTCAGTGTTTATCCAGCTCTGCATGGGTCTGTAAACCTTTCTGTGTTCTAACCTCTCTCCATTTTTCAAAAGCATCTCCAATATTGATCCTAGTTTGAGCACGTTTCTGCTCGTGGAGCTTATTAGAAACATGCAGAGGCTTTTTAGGTCGGGTACAATCACTTCTATCTGAACCACTTCTCTTGACCGCTTCCATCGCTGTAACACCTGTTGACCTGATAACTGCTCTCATATCTGACAAACTGAGGGGGCGTCCAAAACGGCCGTGTGGGGGTGTGTCTTAAAAGCGCCTACCTTCTCTGGTCCAAACAAATCCAGCTCAATGTAAACATCAGGAAGCAGTCGGCTGCAGATCCCCCTGATGCTGCTCTTCTGCCTCTGATTTGATTTAAAAGATGAATTTATCACTTGAGGAATCAAACCGTGCAGAATATGTAAAAACGTTCTAAATCAGTGCGGTAGTTTAAATGGCGGTAAAGGTGGAGGTCAAATCTGTGGATTCAGAACACTGTAATGGGAACTTTAGTGACCTAAACACTCACAGCTCATTAAGCAGAGTCTTTGTTGTAGTTTGGACCGGTGACTTTGTGACTTTTATGGTCCGTCAAAAACCTCCACTGGAAGTGTAGAAGAGTCTGAGCAGACAGGAAGCCACAGTAGCTTTCAAACAACCACATCATGTCGACGAGCTGAAAACAGGAAGTGTCTTGTGTGACTGAAGGATTAGTCTGCGCTCTGGGGATCCTGTAGGAACACTCTGATCCGTGTGACGTCTTCAAGCTAAATCCTCTGGGCCGACCTGCTGCCTGTCATCAGTTCCACCGCTTCATTTCAAACAGGAGACAGAAGAGTTCCTTCATTCGCTCGGCCTGAACACATGACGGCGATGACACAGAGATGGTCACGTGGTGATCAGTGAGTGAAGTGATTTTTATCTACAATGAATGAAAACGTCCCAGAGTTCCCAAAGGTTGTGTTGAGTCTCAAATGGAAAAAACATAAACATTTAACTGTTGATACAGTTTGAAGATTTCTGAGTTCAAGTTTGATTTGTTTATGAGAAATAAAATAAAAAAAACAGTAAAAAATAAAAGATTAAAGGTTTATTTTGGGGCTTTTTTATGCCTTTATTTAGAGAGGATAGAGTCAGTGAGAGAGATACATGGAGCAACAGGTCGGATTTGAACCCAGGCTGCCCACTTTGAGGACTTTAGATTCACCCACTAGGCTTCCAGCGCCCCCAGAGATTATTTTAAGGCTTTTAATGAAGTAATTTATGAGGGAAAAAGGCAAAGGACAAGTACATCCATCCTTTCCTCCCCTCGTCTTTCCATCCATCCTTTGCTCCGTCCTCTTATCGAGGTCACTGGAGCGTTGACAGAGCCTCGAGCGAGCCCCCGCAGAGTGTTATCTAACTGTCATGAAATATAAAAGAGCCCGAGCACGGCCTCTGATGCTTCTCCTCGGCGCCGGCTGAGATACATATTTGGGTGATTCAGCTCACTTTCTTCAGACGATGAGTGATAGCAAGCCGGGTTTCAGACCGCTGGTTGATGTATTTTTAAAACGGGATGTGAGGCTTAAAAATAGAACGAGACTTTTCAGATCGTCTTCGAGGGGCTGCTGCTGCTTCGCTCTGGAACAGGAACACTCGGGGATGTGCAGCCAAACAAACATCGTTAACAGTAACGCCTTTTCTATGACACCAAATTAGAAAAACAGACGAGGATTATGTAAAATCTAAAAGTTTTCTGTACAGAAACATTTCCCAATTACCCGATATTTATTCCACAATGTACCAAACAAAAAGTCCAAACTCCTCTGGGTTTAATGACAGTCTCATGTGTGAGACGACCTCGACTGAAGTGTTTCCTCTGGCTCGGACGGCGTTTCCAGTTACCGTTCAGATGTGATGTTCAGTGACGGCTGCTGGTTTTTCTGGAAGAGCTTCTCCTGCTCTTGTCTGCCAGCAGGTTGTGTTCTCTGACTCACCTCAGTCTAAAGAGAACATCCTTTGTTGCCAAATGTGACTGGACGGCGCCCAGAGGTCGTTTTCTCTCTACAACACGAGGCAGCGGTTGTTTGGCTGGCGGCCTGAGCTCAGAGCTGACGAGATGTTCACACCACTGATTTAATATGTGTTTGGGATGATGTCATCAAAATGGCTCATCCTCTCCGGAGAGCAGGAATGTCATTAAATAGATTTATCCTGAAATCTGGAATATAAATCTTATCTGTACTCAAACGCTTTCTGTTTCCCAGAGTGTGAAAAGGTTTAAGGTGTCGTCCTGTGAGATGATTTCCGTCGTGTTCATCACAAAGCCCGACCGATAATATCAGCCGATGTTAGCTTAGCCGTAGCATTTCATGTGAGCCTCATTGTAGCAGTTCTCTGTCACCAGCAGAGGGCGCTATACGGATTAAAAACAAACATCATCATCGTGGTGTTAAATTAATTATATTAACCCTCAGACATCAGTTTAATTTACGACCGTCTGAAGTCACTAAGAAAAAAAAAAAAGTCCACTTCCAAAAAACTGCTATAAAAATAGAACAGATTGATATTTATTTCTACTTTTTTCTGCATAAATCTCTTAAACAACTTCAGCCCTGCTCTAAACTACCAAACATTCAATCATCTTTAGGAATTTAACCCTTTAAATGCCAGTTTGATTACTTGATGTCCCTGTTGTTATTTAAGAAAAACAAACACAAAAATGAGTTATTTTCCATATAACAGATATTTGGTGGCCGGGGGATTTTTTTACATCAGTCTTGGATATGTCAAAGATTATCCAAAATATTGACTTTGATGCATTGTTAGTTTTTGTGTAGCATCAGATTTAAAATGTAGTTCCCTGTTTTTATATCAGTTTTTTGGAAGTGGACATTTTTGTCCTTAGTGACTTCAGAAGGTCGTAAACATGTTTCTCAGTGTTCCAGTGATCTATTCAAAATTTGCATTCCAAAATGTGTCAAGAGAGTCCTTCTTACAAAAATGTGTTCCATTTGCACTAACAGACAAAATGATGGACAGATGAAGAGGAGACATTTTACCAAATGTCTTGCATTGACCATAATGATGCAAGAGGGTTAAAGAGTGAACGTGCATCAGAACAAACTTCATCCAGACTCTTTAGGATGAACTGCTCAGGGTCAGGGTTCATGACTTTAACTTATCAGAGCTGCTCAGAGGGACGAGACGTCATCCCAGAAACTATCACGGTTATATTTTGACTTTGGATGGATGGGAGTAAGGTTGTGTATACTTTAATGAAGGGTGTCATCTCTGTGGTGGAAACACAAACACGGCGTCTTGCCATTTGTTTTCATCTCGCTGCAGAAATTGTCTTAAGTTAATTTAATGTGGGACTGTGTGGAGTAACCTTGTTTGTATCGATCTGCGGCTTTGATTGAATTGTGGAAACACCTGAGCTGCAGGAGAAGGTCATCTTGTTCAAACATTTAGACTCTTTAACCGTGTGAGTACCCTTTAAACCCAGATGCTTCTGTTCAAGACGGAGAGATAGAGTTTGACTGCCGATATGAAAACGAAAAGCAGCCTCTACCGTCACACACTTTTAGATTGAGTACATCAATCTTCCTCTTTGTGTGTTTTTTTTCAGGTTGTTTTAAAGATGACCGCATCGTGTTCTGGACCTGGATGTTCTCCACGTACTTCATGGAGAAGTGGACTCCTCGACAGGACGACATGCTGTTCTACGTCCGCAGGAAGCTCGCCTACGTCAGCGCGGACAACACCGAGGGAAAAAAGGTGAGACTTAAAAATAACAGTGTCATCTAATTACTAATCCACTCAGACGACCTTTGAACTACAGGGCCCTGACACAGTGATGATGGCATTATGAAGGCGCCCGGCGGAGCTCAACTGGTGGCAGAAAGTTCAGCGAGCGGTGTTGATTTATCTGATGATACACATTCCTATTCTGACCTCCAACGGCACAATACGACCTTTAACCTTTAACCGAGGATCTTTACTCTGCTTTTCTGTGTTCCTGCCACCATAACGCGACCACGTCTGCTGAGACTCGATCATGACGTCGACTTTGAATTGTTAAAATGACTAAAGTCTTTTTTACAGACGGAGTACATTCTCTGACTTTTCTTACCTCCGCAATGTGAAAAATGTGAAATCCTCGACGCACAGTAAAATATAATAACAGGAACAAATACAGTTCAGTCTCTGCTCCTTTTTTATAATTAGATTTTCTGAACGCTCGTCTCTCCGTCTGCCTTTTGGCCCCGCATCACTCTCCATCGCCTGGTCGCCATGGTAACACATCATTGTTCTGCATCCAGGTGGGGTTAAAAAGCTCCCATCATCACCATCTCTGTCCGTCTCATTGTACTGAAAACAAACAAGCACACACACACAGCCTGCATTACAGAGATTAAAGTGTGTTTGTGTATTCAGGGAGGTCATTTCGCCGTGCGAGGATGCAGACTGTCACAGACGGTCGAACTGAAAACAGAGATAATAATCTTTAAAGATCTGATGTAATATGTTTATAAAACATTTCTGATTTTAAAGATTATTATTTTTTCACCTCTTAGATTAAATGTTCAGTCTTTGTCGTTCTTATTCTTTAAATTTGAATCCTCCCGGTTTGTGAAGGTCCACGTCCTGCGGTCTGCAGGGAGACGCATGGTCTCCACACGCCAGCGTTCATATCACTCACAAACCAATTAGAGCACAGGAATGGTTGCCATGGTTACACTGCAGCCCGTGTGGAGGGCGATTGGGAAATTCCCCTTCATGGAGGAAACTGACACATGCAGAAACGACACCGCGGACATAGAAGTCATACTTTTCTATTCCTCTTATCAGTGTCGGTGAAAAAAAAAAATCACAGATTTAGTTTTCTGCTGCAGGAGGAAACGTGCACTGCAGTTTGAACGAAGTCAGATTTTCCTGCTTCATTCAAGACGAAATGTTGCACAAAACTAACGTCTGATTTTCACAACCAAGCAAAGAAGAAATGGAAGTCAGTCCCCACATGATGTTCTTCCCTAAGAGCGGTTTGCACTTCTGCAAAAGCTGACATAGTGTCAACCGTTTAAAGGTCACATATCACACAAAATACACATCACCATGTGTCTCTAGTCTTTCTACAAACCCCATGCATGTTCCTCCTGATGATGTCAGTAAAGAAAATCCATAAAGATCGATTCTGTCGTGCTGCAGCTCTCTTTGTCCTCTGAAGACTTCCTGTCAAATCGGTTTAAATGTCAGAGTCCCGCTCGCTGCACACCTGAACTGAGACCGACCTGCAGCAGATACTGACCCAATGTGTTGGCGTTTTTTTTTTTTTTTTTTTTTTTCAGGTGGAGGTTGAGGTTTACAGGAGAGACTCCAAGAAGCTGCCCGGCCTCGGAGACCCGGACATCGACTGGGAGGAGAGCGTCTACCTGAACCTCATCCTGCAGAAGGTGAGCAACACTCACTCTTGTATGATGATGGTTTTGATGCTGATTAGAGCTCTCAAAGACAGCTGTCGATGTTTTGCTCTGCCTCTTCAAGTCGAAAAAAAAACAGACAGAAAGCAAAAACACTTACTAAATACAAGTCAGAAACATTTGAGATTCTTTTCCTGTACTCATGCCTCCAAATAATCTAAAAACATTTCTATTTTCCAGTTGGACTACGTGGTGACATGTGCAGTCTGCACGCGCTCAGACGCAGGAGACATCCACATCCACAAGAAGAAATGTCAGGTAGGAAACCTCACAGCTCTGCAGCAGCTCACACACTTCATCATGACACTAAAAACTGCTCGCCGCATTAATCACCTCAGAGTGTTAATCAAGTCGTTGATCGCTGTTCAATCAGGAAGTGTTTGCGTCTCCCAGCAAACACGCCATGGACAGCAAAGGAGAGGAGTCCAAGATGAGCTACCCGAACATCTTCTTCATGATCGACAACTTCGAGGAGGTAGCCGCTTCTTTACCACTTTAACCCTTTATGAACCGGTCTGCAGCTTGAGAAATATGTTAAATGTAACATCATCTTCTTCTTCCATAAACAAACATTCATTTTAGAGTATGTCTCAACACCGCGTGGCCAAATATTTTTTTAATTTTGTTACTTTGCAGAACGGAAAAGTAATATATGACACATATTAATTTGGCTGTATGATTATATTTTAAGATACACAGCAGTTTATTACAGAGCTTAAATTTGCTTCACTTCCACCTGAAGGTGTGAGGATCAATAAGGAAGTGCCACCTACTTATGAGTGAACACTTGTATTTTTATTTAAAGCTCTGGTACTTTCTAGATATATTGAACATTAAAATAACAGATTTTATTGTTTTGAAACACGTAACATTAAAAAGTATTGAAGTATCAAATATTTTGACAACCTTTACCACCTACATATTTTTTTGATATTGGTGTGCCTCAGAGCTCCATACTCGGTCCTCAGTACTTTGTATTATAAAGTCTGATTTCCATGGCTTCTCTGTGTAGTTATTTTACTTTTACAGAGCATTTTTACACACTGATGAAGCTACTTTCACTTGAGTATATGATCTGAAAACTTCTTTCACTATTGATGTTTTCCTGACATTTGAAGCCCAGTGTATCCTGAAGACGACAATATATGACACCCCGAGCTAAATATCTTAAGTGAACAAAAACAGAGACAGTTTGAAACAGTTCAGAGGTATAAAAAACATGAATTCAGTTATTGAAAACAAATGGACCGAGCAAGTAGTAAAAAGTAAATGTGTGGGGGAAAAAAAGGCAGTTTTCCCCTCAGTAATGAAGCCGTTACTCTGTGCAGGCTGACTCCACGCAGGCTGACAGTGTTTTGCTCCTGGTTGTGAGTCGATGCGGTTGGTGTAATGAAGTGTGACTTGGTGCCTTTTCACTCCATTTAAAAACAAGCTCCTGCTTTAACACGTCGTTTTATAGGTTCCTGCAGGGAAAAAACACCAGATAGCAGAGATTTCACTCCTGGGAGGAAATCAATGAGCGTTTTTTTGTTTTTTTTGGTACTCTGAAGCGAGAAATAAAACAGCTCACTGTGTTCTCGGCCAAACAAGTCAATGTCAGCTGAAGCAGCCGTGTGCGTGTGCGTGTGTGTGTCACTGCTATGCATCGAGAAGTTGATGGTTGAGATGTAATGTGATTATTATGTGTACAGGTGTTCAGTGACATGACGGTGGGCGAGGGCGAGATGGTGTGCGTGGAGCTGGTGGCGAGCGACAAAAGCAACACCTTCCAGGGCGTCATCTTCCAGGGTTCGATCCGCTACGAGGCCCTCAAGAAGGTCTACGACAACCGGGTGAGAAGCTGAAAAACGCCCTGCTCAGGGACGGTTATGCTCGAGCTAAATGCTAATGCTAATTGGAGGACAGGATAAACTAACTACACTTTTCGATTCCACGTTTTGAAACAATCTGTTATTTTAATGATAGTAGAAAGAGACAAAGCTTTTAAAGTTTAATTTCTGTTGTCATGACAACCCGAATGATAGCCTGTGAAAAGATAAGATGACATGACACATGATGACGCTGTGAGCGCAATTTTTAAAACACATCCAGCCAAAATCCGTCATTCCAGGGAGCTTCACATGATTCCACCTCAGGCAGGGCCGCAGTGTTTTGTTTATCTAACCTTCACCAGCAAGCGTTTGTTTCATCTCAGTTTTTCTCTCGTGTGTGTGTGCGTGCTGAAGGTCAGTGTTGCAGCCAAGATGGCCCAGCGGATGTCTTTCGGCTTCTACAAATACAACAACATGGAGTTTGTGAGGATGAAGGGTCCGCAGGGAAAAGGCCACGCGGAGATGGCCGTCAGCAGGGTGCCGACGGGCGACACCTCCCCCTGCGGCACCGAGGAGGACGCGGTGTCCCCCGTGCACGAGAGGGTGAGGACATGATGTCATCATTTTACATCCTGCAAGCCTTTTCTTTAAAAACGATAAAGTCTCATTTAGTGTTTAAAAGCTCCTTCCAGTTCACTTCCTTCTGTTTTTAATCTGTGGAGAAACAATAACAAACTAAAACGGGTTCAGCGCTGAGCCGCTTAGAGTCGACGGCGAGCGGCACGGCGCTTCATCCAAAGAAATGGAATCAGGTCAGGATTAATAATAAATGGATCATGAATCTTTGATGGGTCAGACCTCCACATGTTCGCTCACAGACGTCTGATGGATTCTCTCAGGTCGACATGAAATGACACTTTGATTTATTTTTTTCCACCGCAGCAAATAAAAACAAAAACATCAACATTCACAGAAATCAGCTGACGGAGACAAAAAGTCGGAAGTCTGTGGACGCAGAAAAAACTGGATTCTTAGTAGAATAATAGAATAGAATGACTTTATTGATCGCAAACTGGTAAATTGTGGTGTTACTGCAGCAGGTTATCAGAGCAAATAAAACATAAGAATAGATACATAAATAAGCACTTAAAATATATAAAAGAAGAAGAGG